GGGTTTTTTTGTTTTCGTGTGTATATTCCTGATTCTGTATGTTTGCTTGTCGTTTTATGAAATTTTGCATCTGTTATATTAAAAGATATTCAGTGAGCTACAGTCATTTGTGGTTCATACCTTTTTAGATCAATCAATGTCCAAAACAAATTGTGTTACGGAGAACATGTCTTTTTGTTAATTGAGACTCACTTTCCTTCTTTTTGTTTGACTGGATGGAGAATATTTGTATGGACTATTTGAACATGAGAACCATATATACACTTCGTTAGGTGTGCTGACTACATTACCATTAGGTAGCATCAACAGTGTCAATAAGGATTGGGTGCATGAAACATTTGTTCCTAGATAGGCAATGATTAGTATTTTCTTGGTTTCAGTTTTTGAAGATCTTATGTGATGACCAATAGTGTTTTGTGCATTTGTTTCAACTTGGCAGCTATTTATTATAAACTTATTAATAACAACATTCACTCTTTCTATTTCTACCTCATTAGTCCCATCCCAAGTTTTACATTGTTCATCTGGGAATAGTGGCTATATATAGTTTTATAAGAATGATTCAATCTGCATGTGTGTCAAGATTTATTACATTTTGGTTTACAGTATGCAACAGTTGTTATTGCGAGGTCCATCGGTATCAGTTTGATGGGTGCCCCATTATTCAGGGATGAGAATTTTCCTCGGATCCGCGGAATTCCAGAAATTTCATAAGGCCAAGGGTAATTTTTGTGAATCGTCTAAATCCGTATAATTGGCCTCGATTTGGCCCCCGGTTTGTTTTCAGAGTGTTTCTCAAAAATTCATTCTCATCCCTGATTATTATACATTATGATACAATAAATAATAGTACAGATAGTTTGTTTACAGAACCAGATCATTGTAGGAATATTTCTGATGGGAGACATCAAGGAGGTACATATAGGTCAAAGATTTCTACTGGAATAAGTCAGTACCAATAAAAACATTGGACCAATTAATCAACAGTGCGGTCTTGGCAGTATGACTTGTAAATATTTCAAAAGCATCAGCACCAAAGAATAACAGGTGTCGTTTATACCACAAAAGGGATTCCAGAGAGTGTGAAAGACGGGGTTGGAAATTGTACGAGGGGATCACTGACAAGCAGTGACGACACCAGGTGTCCTTGTTAATGTGTGGTGGTTGTCCTCGCTCTAAGATTAGACCAGGCCGAGAGACCACATCACTTGCCTGTAGTGGCAGAAGGGAGATAACTCTCGATGACTTGACGGACTGCAGTTGCAGTGCTTTGCCTAAGAAGGTTGCCTTTGGTTGGGGTTAGTTCAGAGAAGCATTATTCGAGGTTTATTTGTTTGTTGTAGAAAATGTACTGGTGAATTAATGTTTGTGATTTTCCATCTGGTCGACATAGACATTTGTGGATGTTAGGATTCAACTATGGAAGAGTGCATCTCATAAGATTGGGCTACAAATACAAATTTTACATGGATTTATAAAGTCATGTGTTGATAGAAGGTAGGGTATGTAACATCATGGCTGATGATCTGATATATAGGTATATATACTGTACTTTGAAAATGCTTATTTAGTGTTTTGTTATGTTTTGCAATATGACCACCAGAAAAGGTTGTGTTGTGTATCGGCAATGTTTGGGTTCAGATATCTTTCAGTGTGTTTTAAGATGGACTTGAGCACAAAATCACATTTCTATGTTAATGAGACGTGCAAGTGTTCTCAAAAATAAATTACCAATATTTACTCAATATTTATTGGTTGCTTTCAAGTTTTTATTAGAGCACATCTTTAGTTTTGTGGTGTGTGTTACTGTTAAATACTTGTGAGAAATGTAGAGTCATGGCCTTAGTCTTGATATATATATAAAAAATCTCTCTCTTATCAGTGCAATATGTATTGTCCCAGCTCCAGGCGACCTTGACCTGGGACATATAGGTCAAGTTTTACCTACTACTGAATGAAAGTGTATGCAATGCTTGGGTTAGTGGTGGCTAGATAATGTGTTATATACCACAGGGATTGCTTAAAGTAGAATACGAGTGAATTGCAATAATTTGCTGGGTGAAAGATAAAGTCATCAGAAACATTCCCAAATTTTCAATTAAAAATTATGTATAATTATGTTTTAAGCGCGAAAACAGTTTTTGTAAATCTCAGCTTCGGCCATTATGCATATTTCGCTGGAACCCACGTGACCTTTCCGTTGACGTCAAATGTGCCTGGAGTCCGCCATATTGCCAAAGACCAAGCGATACAGTAGTACAAATCGTGTTGTTTCTGTCGTTTTTTTAAATGGTATTATGGTGTATTGCGTTGCCTGGGGATGCATGGCATCATCGAACATGGGAAAGAACCACCATTTCTTCAGTTTTCCAAGTGAAATGACAGATTTCGGCAGGAGAAATGCGCCCATCATTCCGAGCTGACGCATATGAAAGAGACATGCACGCATTGAGTATGGAAATCCCCAAGCTTGGCTGAAGAAGGAAAACGAACCCACGAGATTCATTTATACTCCATCATTCCCTGTAACAACTTACTGTCAGTGGTATTTTTAACATAAATTAAATCAAGTCCGATTGCCAGTCGAATTGCCCCCGCTACAAAATGACCCAGCAAATTTGGTCAAATTGCCCCAGTGGGGTAGTTTAAATGCCCCAATTTATTTAAAATGAATAAATATAGGCCATAAATGCATAGTTTTGTCAACTTTGATATTATGCTCTTCATATACAAGTATATACATAGTTATGAGTTTACAAATGAAACATTTATCAGAAATATTACTTCCTATTAACTTTTATATGAAGAACATAATATCATAATAAGTTGACAAAAACTATGCATTTACGGCATATATTCAATCATTATAAATAAATTTGAACAAATTTGAATGAATGACCAAATTTGCTGAGGGCATTTTGTAGCTGGGGCAGTTCGACTGGTACACATGAGATATATATATTATCAAAATCAGTAAGAGATTTCACATTAGCTTGAAAATGTTTCACTATATATTCTTTTCGTTCTGGAGCTCTAAATGATGCAGTCAACTCGAAACATTGCCGAATACAACGGCAAATCATGAAGTACTTGTTGCTTTCATTGTTTTCCATTTTGTCCAATTACGCACGTCAGCATCAGACTCGCTATTTGTCAGTAGTGTGTGCCGTGAAAGTTGTTCTGTATTCTCATTGGCTGACAAGATGTCATTCTAAGGCTATGGTCGAGTACCATAACTATTTCCATAACCAAACACTGGGGAAACATACGTTGTCCTGACTAGTATTTTATAATTCACCAGTTTTTGGAGAATAACTTATCTGCGTCGCGAATATTATCTCTGCACGACCAGGCTGGGATCTTATATCGAGACTTGATTCGTTATTAATGAGAACTAAGATCCTTATTTATTTCAACAAAATTCCAGTGTAATTTTTGAAGCAGATAATTTTCATTTTCCCTCGTCTGAAGCATAATTTTGTTTGTAAATCCCAGACACCCTACAGTCACCAATTTGACACACACTGAACATTTACAAAAAAAATTCTTAATGACTGATCATATATTTATAGGGGTGAGTTTGCTGGCTGGAACTGTATGACATTTTGCTGACAAATAGTAATTTTGTTAAATGATATGGTTTTAAAAAATTATTTTGACCTCAAGCAGTGCCTCCGTTTCGCTTGATTCTTCTTCTTCATCTTCAGTGGAAGATTGTCTTGCAAGATGTAAAATCGGATCGTATTGATACGGTCTAACATCCATTTCAGAAATTACATCAGGAACATCTTTTACTGCTTCAGAATCCACGGACACTGTTAAGTTGTGAGGTAAAATCAAAGAGGAAGCCATCCGCAACAGGCACTTATGACGTCATGTCACTTGATACCCCCTCTGCTCATTTACTGTTGGGTGTTTCCGTAATAGGCGGAAATACGAGTACGTTTTTGTGTTTTTATTGCTATTTTACAAAATATTTGTTTAATTTTAATGACGGAATGTGACTTTTAGAATACCCTTTACAATACATCAAAAGTTTTGTTTTCGTTCGTATTCTCCTTTAAGTACTTGTGTACAGTTCATCTGTAGCCTTTGGAATATTTGTAAATAGCAAATGCTGTGATGGGTACTGGTATTAATGTGTGATAGGGTTGATATAACATGTGATTATGGAGGAATAAAAATGGTAATAAAAGTCAATTACTTTGTTGATAGTTAATAAGTGTCATGTTTAAGAATCGGCCTGTTGTCTATCACCAACTTTAAACAGATCTTGGATGGTTGATGCCTGTCTTTGTTTCCCAGTTGCAAAGATCTCTGACATCAGTCTCTGGACTGTCTGGTCCAGACTTGATTATGTACAGACTGTCGTCATATTGCTGGAATATTGCCGAGCATGGTGTTAAACAACCAGCAAGATTTGCAAAGTTGGATCACAAAATATTACATGTTCTCCAATATATGTATGAAGATGAATGGACGGCACCCATTTCTTTATCTCACTGACAGGTGTTGATAAGAAAACATTTAGTGTGGTCAGTAAGTGTGGTTTTACGCCGCTTTCAGCAATATTCCTGCAACACCGTTAGACAAAACCCATTGGTCAGTAACCAGAAAAACTTCAAAACAAAATACAATATTTTTTTAAAGATTTCTTTTATTACTTGACATATCCCACACACAACATTCATTGATCGATCTTACAACAATCACTCATGCCCTCGAACTAAAACAATGTGTAAAGTTCACTCAATAATATTAGTTTAACATACTCCCTGATGGGCAGTAAACAGTGATAACAGAAAAACCCTCTACACACCGAGAGATTTGATTCAGCTTGACAGATGGTGAGACAACGTTGGATAAATTGATTTTGATCAAGATACCCAGTAGCCACTAAAATCAAGTACTGTCATAAAGTCTGCAATCTTATAGGCTATATTTAACAAATATTGCATGCTAATAAATTAACATACTGAAAAAATCGGCAGCTAACATACTTTTGCGCAAAAATTCCATCTCAAGAATCGGTGAAAAATGCAAACCTACAAATAAATGGATTTACAAAATCTTTGTATTATAACAAATTTAAAACCCTCCAATACTTCAATTTGTATGAACCCAACAAACACCACTGACCACACATGTCTATGGAAAGAGCACTTCTTCAGTGTTAAAATGCAAGGTATTTGGCACAGATGCAGGTACCTTATCAAGGAATGATCAACTGGATCCTGTCAGTTACACAATTATATCTAAAACACTGTCTAGTTCTAGACGAGCCTAATTTAAGAGAATGTCCTGTAACGGATTGTACATCCTAAATTTAAAACTACATTACCACATGAATAATTATATTATGATGACAATAACAGTACTGAAACATAACCACTAGAAAATGAAATAAATGCACAATATTGAGCAAATGGAAAGTTTGACTATAAAATGTCTTTGTCACAAAATATTAAATATTTTAAACCAATAGACAATATCAAAGATGAAGTATTTGTAATAACCTGAACTGTAAAAAAACACCACTTTCTGTGCTGCATAAGAACAAATTCAAACAACCACATGTCATATCCAGGTATCTAAATCCAGGAAAATGTGAAAAATTGGTGCAAATCTGATGCAAATAATGTAGCGGATAAAATTTCCGAAGCCCGTCCTGGGATTCGAACCACGGACATTCTGATCCGAAGTCAGAAGCCTTGTCCACGTGACTAAAGAGGTTAACCCGTCAGCAAGCCGACAAGGTAAGGATGTCATCTGTGGGATGACTCCACGCCCTGCTACAATAACACTATCCTGTAACAACTACTTGCAAAATGTCCTTATTGCAATTCAGTGCAAGACAAAACAATCTAAAAATATGGTGATAATGTTCTTTGGTTAGCTCAGCAAAATGTGTACAATAAGTTGCTACATACTTGTAACTGTGTAAAACAGAGCCCGGAATATGTGGTGTAAATGTCAGGACATGCTTATGTTCCAATTCTATATTGGTATTACAGTTGCGATCTCCAGGATTCTACAATTTGCAAAAATTCATTTTTCAAAAACAGGACAAAAAGACAAGCTGCTGTGAAAAGCACAATTCAGCAAAATCGCAATGTCATAAAAATTCTCCCACATTCAGTGTTAAAAATATACAAATAGGTCATTTCACAACCACCTCAACTTTCCTGTACCTACAGTGTGTAATCATTTGTCAAAGATAGTGCACTCAGATTCAAAGTTAACTTGCTTTCTTCATGGCATTTCCAGTGTAAGAGGTGACAAGGCTCTCGTGTTTTACATGTGGTAACGTCTCAGCAGTTGTAAGACTAATGTTAATTATCTTCTCAAGAAAACATTTGAAATCAAGGTTGTAAGGAAAGGGTATGTTTGTTAAAATGCTTAAGAACGAATGATAAAGTAAAACATATGCATCTGATTCAAAGCTGGATTCATAATTTGACCAAAACAGCAACTTAAAGCTCATCCCTTATTCTCAGCTGGAATGATGTCAGAATATTCAAACGGTTTCCCAACTGTTCCTTCTTTTTGTCACTGACCTTCCCATCCTTCAATTTTTCAACCCGTTCTATTTCTGAGTCAATAAAAGCCTCCCCTTTTTCTAAAACCTTTCTCATTGTTTTGATATAAATTTCGGCTGAGGTTTTTTCATTTTCATCTGTGAGTGCCTTGGCAGAGGTCTCGGCCTTCTCAATCACCTTCTTCTTGGCGTCGCCGCTAGCACCATGGAATTCCTTGACCAGCTTATCAAACTGCTCAAGACAAGCCGGGAGGCCCAGCCACAAACCTGAAATTTAACAAAACATTCGACTCTTTGATCACAAATGACCCCGAAACTTTGGTTTGGTTTTCAATCAACACAGAATTCTTGTGTCTAGATGACCTTGTACATACAAAGTTCTAATTTAACAGGCCCAACACAAATAAAGTGTGAATATTTAGCTTGGAGTTTCAAGAAGAAAGCAAGATTGATTTTTTTCATCTGTCCATGGATGATATATGAACAAAACTTCCGCAAGCAGAAGTTACAAAACAGTCATTCGTGTAAGGTGATGCCATCACAACAGTAAGCTCCTTTCAGTTGCATTTCACTTGAGCAATGACAGAGAAGTGTCACTTGTATAAACCCTAATTTATTCATATGAGCTTAGGTCCATCATGTACCTAAAGAAAAGAACTCTGCCCTGGATCAAAATATTGGCAATATGTCATATACAGATTTCTTGCATCATATCTGTGTCTACGAGGTGAAATAACAGATTTATGATGCTCCTGAGCTTCCTCCTACCCAGACAGCTGATGTGTGCAGCTATACACGTCATCTGGTCCAGGCTTACTGTGGCATTAAATAACAAACTTGAACACTTGTCAGCTAAAATCTGGTTTCATACTTACCAGATTCCTTCATGATGAATTTTTTCACATCGTCAGCTTTTTTATCTTTTCCCAGGAATGTGACTGGCTCATCTTTTCCCTTCACAAACATTTTGTAGACAGGGTGGTCATCCTTCTTTATACCAAACCTCTCGCCTAAGTCAGCGTTATCTTTGTCACCATAATCTGATAAACAGAATTTGACAATGCTTATAGTAGTTATACCTGAAATGCTAATCAATTTAAGGATCTGCATGATTCTCGTCACTGAAAAATAACAGTTTACAATCATTTACTGATGTGTCTTATTTAAGATGTTGTACAAAACATTTGCACTCCTCACTGACGAAAGCTAGTTTGAAACTTCAGTTTCTTCCATTTAACCATTTAACAGTTGCATTCTTTTTTTAAACTTTTTTTGTAAACACGGAAGCCAAGGTCTATTAAAATGCAGCAAAATTCTACACCATAAATCTACACTAACTCTTCTCAAACAATCACTCTTACAATCAATGATTACCTTAGGCTCATCACACCAACATAACTACACAATGTAATAATTCTGGATCTACATGGGTGAATATTTATCAACAACAGTGCAATCATTCCTACAGTACAATGCACAATATCTGTTCCATGTACCTGCTATTTGAACCTCTGCAATAAGAAGGTTAGGCTGGGTGAGACTTGCTTGGGCAACCTTCTTGAATTCATCTTGCTTTTCACCGTAAGGATAGGTTTCATCAAATTTGACCACAACAACTTGATGTTTGTTGATAATCTAAGAAATTAAATATGTCAGTTTAGAAAATAATGAGCTGAAAACAACAAAGATGTAAAATAAATGGCACAGAATGAATTTAGGGAGTTAGAACATGCTGCTACTAAACCATGTTGGTATGTTTCATGCAGCTCATGACATTCTAAACCTATCAAACATGTTTATGACAACATTGGCATAGGAACAATTGAGAAAGATTAGGGAAGAATGAAATATTACAATATTAATATGTATTCAATAAAATCTGCTTAACATGTGTTGTGATGTAACCACCTACTGAAAAAGCAATTAACTACAGTTATCAAACATATACAAATCTGATAGGTATTTAAGACACGGATGACAGAAACTGGGCTATTACTTGCCTGTTCACCAGGACCAGGAAATTAAATCATAGTCGAAAGTGCTTCCAGTCTCGGCTTATCACCACTGCATGATAGAATTAAATTGCATACCTCAAATTTGCACTAACTTCTGCCGTTATTCTAAAGTTTATTCTGTGAAATCACCCATAGCATATTGAAGTTTAATAAGGCAATGCACTAACATTTACCTCCACCCTTTCAAGTCCTTTGTTTATTTAGCCAGCCAACAATGGGGCAACAGATCATGTAAACCGGCCCAGACGTCGAGTTCAGCTACGATTGTTCATAATTTCGAAAATACAGCTAGATAAAGGAAGATGCTGCACGTGTAATGCACGTGTCAACATGTGTGTACGCTACTGATACACACACCCCTTCATAAAGAGACCTACAGCAGACAGCATTTTGGGAGTGATTACAGAATCTGCGCCCATCGAGCCATAAACTAATTAAATATTGCAACAATGCATAAAGGAAACTTGGACAAAATTAACAACTTACTTTGTCAAACACTCCTGAATTAAGCGGTACAGAACCTTTAACAATGTCGCTTTGCACAAGGTGCAAAACGGACAAAACTATGAGGAAGACACCGGCACACACGTTCATGTCAGCCATGCTTGCCTTGAGGATGAGGTGGCCCAATCAGAGTTTCGCTTTTATAGATAATGACAATACTCGAGCACTTGCCACGCCAGCCAAGTACGTAGTTTTCATTGGTCACGGAACTGATCGCGTATTAACCAATGGAAAGCGTTGTTAGGTACGCACAGGAAGTGAATACGTAAAGGCCGCTTACTCTAAATTTGACATTCCATAAAAAGTAAACTGTTTGAAAAGGCTTTGTGGAAATTTGTTAATTGTAATTGCATTCGTAAGATCATAAGAATTACAACTTGAACATCAATTATCGTCAATGGCAAGGTGATCGTGTTTGTAGATACCAGGTAAGAGCGATGAGGGGATCATACGGTAACCTAACTTCTTGAAATTTAATGAAAACATTGGATCAAATAAGTTGTGGTGAATGTTTGATGTCTTCCGCGTGCAGAGTGAACAACGGATTAAATTGACTGCGTCACCCAACTTTCTGGAACATTATAACTGAAAGTGTTTGTGTACTAACCGATAGAGATCGGTAATCGATACCCAAATATCGATCGATTATCGATCTGTTCCTAATGGATTGCAAAACTAATCCACATATTCTTCGTCACATAATGGGATATTTTTTTTAGATTTTACTCAAACAAATCGTCTGTGACTGACTTGGGACAATTACGTTGTTACATTAGTGTATGGCTTAGAGGATATTTTTTCCTTGATTGATGAATGATTACCATGTCACAACCGCGTAGACCGATGCTCATGATGTTGATCACTGGATTGTCTGGTCCAGACTCCATTATTTTCAGACTGTTGGCATATAGCTGGAATATTGCTGGATGTGGCATTAAGCAACAAACCAACAACCAAAAACCCAACCTTATTCATAACACGTACATTGCTTGGTCTATAATTATTAGATTGTGTTGTTTCCATATGATGCGTTACCTTTAGTGAAATTACTTGTAGCTGTCATATGTACATTTTACAGGTGATGAGAACTGGAGGCAATGTCTTTGACAAGAAGCATCCGAGTCTGGGTGAAGGCGGAACCATTCAGCTATGGTGCCCTGCCGGTGGCACCACATCCCAAACTCACTCACAGTGTAAGATCATATAGTTCTGTCGCCTATTCTTGCGGGTTTCCTATTCTCTTGGTAAACACGTTTTCTGCCGGTATCACTGATGCGCGACACCGAGCAGTTATTAACCTTGCCGACCGGTAACTAGGAAGTGGCCCAAGTCTGCGAATGATCAAAATCTTGCTATGTCACTAATATTTGTGAGTTTATACCAACTTGGACATATCATAACTTTTTCCCGCCCTTTCCGGCAGGATTGCTCTTCTATGCACTCCACAACATTACTTCCTCGTTATACCGCGAGAATGGGAGAAGCCTCATTTTGTCAATGGTGCATGGCATTTTTATCACCGGGCTCAAGTGGTAATTCACCTGATGGGTCTAGCAGCTGATAGATACCGATGCTAGAGGAGAAGGCCCTTCATTTGAAACAACAAGCATTCATACTATAAGAATTGTTTGTGTTATTTTGTCAGCCAATATCCGTAAGTTCCGCGAGAATAGGAAACGCCTTCATACAAGTCAAACACCAAGCTCGTCAGTGAGTTTCGTACAGCGCCACTTGGAACAATCTGTCAGTTATGTCGTGGCGTGTCTTCTTGATGGGGAGGAAAACCTGGAGTGATGCAGATGCTAGACATCCATTACTTAAGTGATAATATTGAGCTGGCAAATGTAATCTTTGTCAGGGGAATTAGAGCTTCCTGTCACATCTAAGGAAAGCAATTCTGCACAGCGATTTGCAGCATTTTGATCACTGGGCCACACACCTTAATGTGTCTTGTGAATGTAATGAGCTTATTGGGTCTGTCACATCTAAGGAAAGCAATTACCCACAATCAGCTCTTGAGCATTGGAACTTGCAGTATCGTTTACCCACCATCAACTCTGATTGGGTCAGTATCGCCTACCACCATCACTCTTGTTATTGTGTCTTGTGAATGTAATGAGTGTTATTGGGTCAGTATCACCTACCCACCATCAACTCTGATCATGCTCATAACCAGAAGTACTTATAACACCTATATTTAGAAATAACTGTCTTGAGATATCATTTATTCATTTTGATATATGTAAAACCCTGAAAAGTATCATCCCAAACTCAAAAGATGTTAGGTGTTTATTATGCTGTTTTTCCATTTGTAAAAGTGCTGAATATTTATAATTAGAAAGGATTGAATTTAGTTTTACACCTCTTTTATCAATATTCCAGCAATATCATGGCGTGGGACACCAGAAATGGGTTTCACATAGTTAGAAAGGAAATCAGCTGATCTGTTGAGACCATTACTGGTGTATGAAGTGAACAGTTTAAAAACATATAACTTAGCAACTATGAAATAGAACAAACTATGTACTTTATACACTGCCATTAATTTATGTTAACAATTTAATGACATGAAACAAGTTACTATACCATGTATTTCAATAACTGGTTCTGTTGCTTTCTGGTTGCTATGGAGACCATTATGGTTCCAGAATCTTTGACAACATAATAAACTTGTAGGTGAAAGTTTGACAGATGTATCTTGAATGAATGTTATTGGCTTAAAGTAATCACTACAGTGATTTAACTAACAACATAACATGTGATTTTCTATATTTTACAGAATATCAAGAAGATTGTACTGTATGCAAAGAACAAAGGGTCTCCTGGATTTCCAAACATCAGGTAAAGTAATGATTGACGATCATTTTCACTGTGTTAGTCAACTGGATAACAAATATTCACGATTAAGCTTCACTAAATGGGCTTACTATTCTGTGATCAGTATCACTTACAACTATTGCAGACTGCAAGTTTGCTCAGATATTAATGTATCAGTGTATCAGACCAGAATTTTAAACAATCTTGTAAACATTTGTTTTAAGAAAAAAGACATTAAAAACAGTACTTATCATAAAACATCTACTTCTTGAATGAGACTTGTATGTGGGTTGTACTTGTATCTTGTTATCCCCCGCCATGCCGTGCGCGTAGCGTGAAGCAGGGGATATAGTATTAGGCTCCGTCCGGCAGTACGTACGTACAAATTGGAATATCTTAAGAACCGTTCACTAGATTCTTTTCATATTTGGTACCTAGTTTCATCACAGTATAAGAAAGGTCCAACTCAGGTTTGGTGACCTTGACCTTCATTTCAAGGTCACAAGGGGACTTTATCATTTTACCTGCATGTTAAGCTATATCAAGAACCGTTCACTGGATTTTCTTCATAGTCAATACCAAGCTTTATCTAGGGAAGGTGCAGGGCCCAGTCGATTTTGGTGACCTTCACTTAATTTTCAAGGTCATGGTGACACTTTGAAGATTTCAGCATGTAAACCTGCATGTTAAGCTATCTCAAGAACCGTTAACTGGATTTTCTTCATATTTAACACTAATATTTATCTAGGGAAAGTGCAGTGCCCAGTCAATTTTGGTGACCTTCACATAATTTTTAGGGTCACGACAACACTTTGAAGATTTCAGCATGTTAACCTGAATTGTCAGCAAGATGTACTAGTTTTGCATATTTCATACACTATGACATTCATGTCAAGGTCAAAGTCAGTCTTGAAAATATGTGTGTGTTTGAACAACTAAAGAGCCAGATATCAAGAGAGGTTGATTAGTCATGTTTTTGTTGACATTTAACTTCCTCTTAAACTTTCATTACATTATAAGTTTGATTTGATAAATTGCGACGGGGGATTATGTCACCTTAGTGAAAATGCTTGTATTTAATTAAATTAAATAATGTTGTGTATCGACCTTGTTGGAAGAGTTCTATGGAGGGTGAAAGTTTCAGTCATGTTTCGCCTGTAATATACACTGTAGGGAAAGTCATGACTATAGCTGAATACGAGGCGTACACCTTTATTGATAAAAACTTCTTGTTTATTGCCAAGCAGCATTTCAATGTAGATTCTTACATCGTTATCAGCTAAGGTAATAGTCGATAATGGTGTAAGAATATAAGATTACCTTTTTAACAGTGTAAAAATCCACCTCGAAATATCGCATTCAGTCTATCGCATCACGCTAACATTACGTACACTGCATTGGCTGCCAATCAGACAAAGAATTGTCTTCAAGGTTTTGGTGTTTGTGCACAAGGCCCTTCACAACCATGCTCCAGAATACCTGACTGAACTAGTGTCATGGTATCAGCCATCGCGAACCCTGAGATCAGCCTCTTTAAAGAACAAATAAACTTTCTTTGTTTGTACTCTTTTAACCATTACATATGAAAGATTTGTGGTTAGACGTATGCGGAACACCTAATTCATTTTTAAAAAACTTGTGGTTAATTAATACCGAGCAATTAAAAGTTGCCAAAAAGTCGCCTGCTTCACTCTCGCCCGCCAACGAAACCACAGACAGGTTACGTAACTCTGTCGCCAGAGCACTGCAGTGACGTCATATGAGGAACGATTTTCAGTTAGTTGTAAAGGAAGTGTGCAGCACGCTCATCATTTTGATGATTTCTCGACATCAACGACGATTGTCGTCAATTGCTCCTAGGGGTCGGGCGATGGTGTCACCATGCACAGATTTCCAAAGGACCCCGCAGTTCGTGCTAAATGGGTTGTTTGTGAGTGCGAAGCGAGCGTTGTGGAAGCCTGAAACGATATCTTACTTGTGTTCAGATCACTTCACGGAAGTTAAAGAATCAAAACTGCTTACTAGTTGTAGTAAAATATGTATATGATTGATGACCATAAAGATTTTCCTTGACACAACTTGTAACATAACGATTTCTTCCTCGGAAGCGAGGTTGGGGTCGAAGTGACAATACTGTAAGTAGTATTATATTTACACACACCTCGCTGCCACGAGAGAAATTGTTATGTTATAAGCTATGTCATGCAAAATGCTATTGGCCATCAATCAAGTACATATTTTACTACCAGTAGAAAGTAGTTTAGATTTTGTAACTCGGTGACAACAAACCTAAATAGCATTTATCCTCAGACTGGCGGATGTTCGCGACGGGGCGCCGCCATTTTTGAAAATCGTAAAGTGACGGGCTAAAGTCTCTTAGAATTAATGAGATTATGGTTTGTTATCATCAAGTTAGAAAATCAAAACTACTTTCTACTCGTAGTTAAATATGTATTTGAATCATAACCAAAAGGATTTTGCATGACACATCTTATAGCATAACGATTTCTTCCATGGAGCGAGGTGGGGGTCAAAGCACAATACTGCGCGATAAACTTCTTACTACATTCACATGGTTAATGTCCACTCACCAGTATGTAGATACTAGTCAATGTGCATCTTTATATTTGGTCTTATAATCCTAATTAGTTTATTATCATACTTGTATGCATTTTGAAACCAAATAAAAAGCAGACGATCTGCTGATACTTATAGTGAATTTATAACAGAACTGTAATATCTAGACATTTTATAGTTTGCCAATGTGAATCAAAATTCGCACACACCCCCTAGTGTATGTTGTCTGTCTCATTACACTTCACGGCAAAAACAATGATTCTGTTGAATGCTACGACAAATGAATAAAAACAAATTGCAAATATTAAAATTAAAACAGATTAAAGTTATAGGAACAATGTCAGGCTATTACTTTGTTCGAGGAATGTATCCATCAATATCCACAAAAACGAGTGATATGCCATTCATCTGCAGCTGTTCCAAGGGATGTGTCTTTTAACAGTTTAATATATGAAAAAGTGATAAATCTTTTCAGGTACCGGTATTTCACATTGGTGTATAGTCTCATTGGTCACCCAAGATAGCACACCTGGCAACTAATTGCAGAATGTCCGCCTTTCTTTAAAAACAGTAATTTAGTTAGCCAATAATGGGCAATCAATCAATGTATTGCCGGTTAATCCTTTGAAAGAATGACGTTGTTTTTACGCAGACACCAACATGACAGAGTGTATTCAGTATAGATTAGTAAATCTACTTACATAAACACTACCTTTTGACAGATCCGCAGTGTAAGATAAAAGTAATTAATCAATCAGTTATCGGTTAATCCTTTGATCGATGTTTATAATGTTGAATCTTTACTCAAGACACAAAAAATGCCAAATGGGAACCTTTGTCGGGTAATCTAAGTGTGTTACCACTAATTATACCTGTTATAAATTCATTAACTGACCATCAAGTGAATGATGACAAATAACATGTGTAGGTTTATACCACCTAACACGGGTTACAACAAGGGAGTATTAATTGCTGTATTGCATGTGAAAACTTATGGGCCGACACTGTTTTGAGAATACAAACAGATTTTTACATGACATGATTAAATATCGAGGTAAAAAAACCCACAGAAATAGGATCAATTTGGATCAGTCATTATACAAATAAGGCCTAGCGACACCAAGCGGTTTTGACAGAATCGTCTATGAAAACAAGTTGTAACTCGGAAACTAGGCAAAGCAGGAGACAAAATTAAATGACAGTAGATTGTGAGAACATATAGCTTTCATTTTCCACAACAGTTGTCACGATTACAGGTTTATACAAACCTGTAAACAAGATAATTCACCCCCTGAAATGTAGATGAATTCTGCATCGGCCCTCCTATCTATTCCTCATATGACGTCACAGAGACGCCCCGCTCTGATTGGTTGAAATTTCGTTCGCGGGTGAGAATTGTGCACTGTTGTCAAAAAGGTCGATTTAAGTTAATTAAAGAACGAAATGAGTAGTTTTAATGACGGGGTTTCATTTATAGCGATGCCAGTTAGTGATTTATGTATTTGTACCCCCCTAGAGTATATGTGATCTTTAAAACAAGCAGTAGTGCCCTCTACCCGCAGAGCGAGTTATGGCGATAGAGCTTTCGCCAAAGCAGGTCCTCTGTTATGGAACCAACTACTTGAAAACTTGAAAAACTTGTCAGACATCATTCCATTCAAAAAAGAACTAAAAACAGTTCTTTTCCACAGAGCATTCGACCAAGCGCCTTAGAGCAAACCTTGGATGCAGGCGCTATACAAATTTTAACATTATTATTGTTTACTCACAAACTTGTAGAATTCTGACCAAACAAATATGGTTGATGTCAATGAGCTGTAAAGACTTTCCTCCATTTCCAGCTACTCCGTATGGAAACACATTGCCTGTAACAAGCTGCACCTGTCAGAGGACCTGGCCTGGATGTGAGTATTATTTGGGGCGTTGCAGTTCTTGGCTTCAGTGAGCAAAGCATTCAGACCTGAATATATGATTCCTGTATCTTGAAAATGTACTAAAACCACAAGTTCTGAATTGAAATAAATAAGGAAGAGCCATTATTTTTCTGTGGATATGTAATATCTGAGCACCAAGTCATGTAGGCCTAAAATAGTATGATAAAAGGACACTGTATGTTCTGAAAAGTTTTCATATGAAATTCTAACTCAGTGTGTTTGAGGAATAATGCTAAATCAGATTAATAAGCTGACATATGATTGGTTGAAGAATCCAACCAAACTTTCTTTAGATTGGGCAAAGTACACACAGGGCCTCAACATTATGTGTGTACATATAACTCCCACTCCCCTTTCTCACTTCCCTCACTCACTCTCGCTTTTCTTTTTTTTTTCCTCTCACTCACCCCTCCATCTCTCCCCTCCTCCCTCACAAGCCCTTCTCTCTGACCCCCTCACTCCCCATTTTTCTCGCTCCCTCTCTCCGTATCACTCCCCTCTCTCCCTCATTCCTCTCTCTCTTCCCTCCCACACTCTCCACTCCATTCCCTCACTCCCCTCTCCCCTAATTCCTCTCTTTCACCCTCCCTCCCTCTCCCCCATTCCTCCTCTCTTTCCCTCCCACACCCCTCCATTCCTCACTCCCCTCCCCTCATTCCTCTCTCCCTCCAACAATCCCCTCCCTCTCCATTCCCTCACTCCCCTCCCTCTCCCATCTTTGTCTCCATGTTAAAAGTAAATACAAGCTGCACTCCTTCCGTTGTTACACAGGTACTTCTCCCTCTGTCATCTGCTGTGCGACACCAAGTACCCTGTTGAACGTCTGGAGTGGGATGAGACGTACCTCACAGCACAGTCACGCTCTTCCAGAGGTATGAGATAAGATAGTCTGTGTTAGAAGTAGTCCGAAGCATGTTTACGGAGCGTCATATCATGTATGTGTCTATGTACCTTTAATAAGTGTATTTATAACTACAATCCAATGTGTGGATTGATTTATAACCTGTATGCAGATCTTTGTATCTGTGTTGTGTATGTGGACCTCTATGTTGTGTATGTGGACCTCTATGTTGTGTATGTGGACCTCTGTGATGTGTATGTGGACCTCTGTGATGTGTATGTGGACGTCTATGTTGTGTATGTGGACCTCTTATATGTGGACCTGTGTGTATGTGGACCTCTGTGTTGTGTATGTGGACCTCTGTGATGTGTATGTGGACCTCTGTGTTGTGTATGTGGACCTCTGTGTTGTGTATGTGGACCTCTGTGTTGTGTATGTGGACCTCCATGTTGTGTATGTGGACCTCCATGTTGTGTATGTGGACCTCTGTGTTGTGTATGTGGACCTCTGTGTGTGTATGTGGACCTCTGTGTTGACCTCCATGTTGTGTATGTGGACCTCTGTGATGTGGACCTCCATGTTTGTGTATGTGGACCTCTGTGTTGTGTATGTGGACCTCTGTGATGTGTATGTGGACCTCTGTGTTGTGTATGTGGACCTCCATGTTGTGTATGTGGACCTCTGTTTTGTGTATGTGGACCTCTGTGTTGTGTATGTGGACCTCCATGTTGTGTATGTGGACCTCCATGTTGTGTATGTGGACCTCCGTGTTGTGTATGTGGACCTCCATGTTGTGTATGTGGACCTCTGTGATGTGTATGTGGACCTCTGTGTTGTGTATGTGGACCTCTGTGATGTGTATGTGGACCTCTGTGTTGTGTATGTGGTCCTCTGTTGTGTATGTAGAGCTTTATAACATGTATATGGACATTTATAGTTTGTAAGTAGGGCTTTAAGTCGTGTATTTAGAACAGTTTTTCATGTATATGGACCTATATATTGTGTGACTATAACTTAGTATGATAAGAGTTAACATTCAATACAGGATTGTTGCAGAAGTGATGTTAATATTAGATTCATAACATAAGGCCTTTTTCTGATGTGCTGACCAATCATTTTAAATCTGTACTCCCCAACATGTGGAATCTGGTTTAGAGTTGTTCCTACCAGCCTGGGTTTGTAATACGATGTGCTGAATGTATCCGTTAGTCAGTCTCAATATCATCAATCACTGGATTGTTTGGTCCTGACTCAGTTATTTATCGACCACTGTAACACAGTCAGAGTATTACTGAGTGACTCATTAAACAGCAAGCAGTCTGCCTTCAAAGGATAATTTGGGGTATTGTTCTGTTACTTAACCTGCATCACCACTGATTTTGCCCCAGGTTCCTTCAAGACTTTCTTTGGTAGTATTGTACATGTTGTAGTTATAGTCATTGTTTTTGTAATTAAAAATGTGTTTGCAGATGACTTGCGGAGCAGGCTGTGTGTGGACACGTACAAGTTTGTGTTGTTCCTGTACATCCAGCAGCTGTTCCGCGTGTCCCTCAGGGCATCACTGGTCGCAGGAGATGAGTATCCTTTCGTAGAGTCACCTTCATTCTGTCGACCACTGGTTTGCCTCATCCAGGCTGGAACACTCAGTACTTTATATCAGTATGAAATGTGATAATAGAGCTTGCAGAGTATAAGACAGTCCCTGAAATGTATGACCAGAGCTTATGCCGAATTTATATAAGTTTCTAATCCTGCCCATGGCAAGAAACCTGGAACAAAATATTTCTTCTTCTATTCAGTGTTGTGTTAACACTGGTCGTGTTGTCAGCAAAGTACGGCTCACCTTTACAAGGCCATGACATGCTTCCATCAAGGGAAGTAATCTGATGTTTGCTGCAGCTATGGGACTACATATTGGCCTTTGAAAAATAACAACTATAATTGTGACCTAGTCCTTGACAAATGCAAGATGGCCGTCAATGTCCTCATCTTCTGAGTTTGAAGGTCGTTCCACTCCAAGAGGAACAAAGGTAAGACTTATCAATATCAAAGCAATGTGTCATGACACTAATCTTAAAATTCCAAAGATTTCAAGATACTTTCTACCACTGAAACAGACGACATGCAATATTTATATCTCATCACCATTTTAAATAGATCTGATTCCTTCTCCAGTGTGAATATAAAATGTCTGACATGGATGTTTGTGTGTCTTTGACCACCAATTTCCTTGGCTGTTGCTCGTTCTTTAAACCACTGGTGCGTCCGCCCGGCGACCGGAAGGTCACGGGTTCGATCCCCGACCGCGTCATACCAAAAGACGTTAAAATATGGTACTTGTTGGTCCCTGCCTGGCGCTCGGCATTAATGGGTACAACAAGGACTGGTCGGCTCGGAGTCAGTATACTGTGTCTGAGTGGGGTATTCATGCTTCACTGCGGGCATGGTATCTCAGCGGGCTAGCACTATAAAACCAGTTTAAGTCTGGACTAGTACAAGCAGGCGCACATACATATACACGCATGCATGTTGTCATATGAGCGAAATATTCTCAAGTACGACGTTAAACCCAATTTCACCTCACCTCACGTCAACCACTGGGTTGTCCTCTCTAGAATAAGACCACATTAACATTTGATTCAGAGATTGTGTTCTGTTCTACAGTCTCTAGATGACCACGGCCACATGGTGTTTGTGCTGTCACATCTCCCAGAGATTCTCGAGCTACTCACAGAACAAGGTACGTTACTTAGTACACAAGATCCAAACAGAGTGAGTGAGTGAGTTTAGTTTAAGTTTATGCCGCACTCAGCAATATTCCAGCCATATGGCTGCAGCCTGTAATAATCGAGTCTGGACCAGACAATTCAGTGATCAACAGCATGAGCATCGATCTGCGCAATTGGGAACCGATGACATGTGTCAACCAAGCCAGCTAGCCTGACCACCCGATCCCTTTAGTCGTGTGAAGCCCGCGTTTTTGGTGTCGACAAGCATTGCTATGGGTTACTCAAGGTTCGTTCTAACCCGACCTTCACGGGTCGCTTCAAACAGATGATATGCAAGATGCAGCATGTTATTGCTGTGTATTGCTGTGTACCCTGCAGAAGAGTTTATATGTTTGATTCCTACATTTGATCAGTAAAAAAAAAAGATCTACATAGACATGCAGAGACTTCATTGGGTCATTTCTCAGTGTGTTGTAACACAAATTATTTTATTTTATAATTTAATGCATATCTATAATAATAATGAACTCATAATTTATTGGGTTGTAATGATCTATCTACCCCAATGTGTAGCATGTGTGTAGGTGTGTAATACATAGACATATCAGCAGAGGAATGAAGCACACTGTCAGGACAGTCTTGTTTCAGTGTTTTATTTACAATCATGGCAGTTATCTGCTATGTGTGTTATGGGTGTTGTCTGTACTATGATGCCTGAACACAAAGGTTAACCAGATATTGATACATACAGACCACAAGCTTAGTGATTAGTCAACAAAGTTTGTTCATACACTCAGTTGTAGGTGTACAGTGAAGCAGCAATACATAACATCCGCAGCGATATTTCAGTGCACTCACAGAAAACGTTCAATTTGTCTTGACGAAAGTCTGCCTTTGTTTCTGAATCCAGAACAGAGATGGAAGTTGTAAGGAACTCGGTGTTTTGGAAAAGTTTTGTACGTGACATGTAGATACCATGCCAGTTAGTTTGAACAAAGGCTCAACCTAAATTGCAGATAACTCTAAATACATGCTGCTGCTGACAACATTGACATTCTACTAGCACTTTAATCCTTGTTTGTCGCTGACAGTGACATGAAAGACACCTGGAACAGCCTCTACTGCCTCCTAACTTGTGTATAATGTTGTTTGTTCCATCAACAGAGGGGTCAGGCCAGCAGGGTCTGGCTAGTGGACCATGTATGACGGAGAGGGCAGTCGATGCTTTGGGCTTCCTGATGGCAGGGTCCATGGACAAGTTCAAGTGAGTGACTCCATCGTCTGTAGATACACGTTTACATCTCTCATTATATACACCTGTGGGATTCTGCATTATGGTGGGTCCTCTGCAGCCTGGTTGTATGACTGTTCAGGTGGTCATGCTGGCTTGCTATTGGTACTGGCGTACCTAAATGGCTTGGATTGTAGTCCACTATGTCAATAAGTGGATTGTCTGTTCCAGACACCGTACTGCAGAGTGCAGCATTAAACCAACAGACCAGTCTCATGATATACTCATGGGGCAGTGGTTTAGGTGGCTGCTTATGCTGCTGAAAACTTGGTTATATTTCGCATGGGTACATTATGTGCAGATCTTGTTTTGTCTTCAATTCTGTTATGATAACCTGGGTCACGTTTCACAAAGCTCTGGTAGGCCTAAGATCTCGTAACTTTTCTCGTAGCATTGGTACCTGCTATACTGTAACATAGGAGGTACGAATGCTACGAGAAAAGTTACGAGATCTTAGGCCTACGAGGGCTTTGTGAAACGGGACCCTGCTTGACAACAATACAAGAATCTGTTTTGAAACATCGCACCACACGAATAGAGACATTGTTCTTTCTTAAAGTTTGTCATTATCTGACTGTCCAACTTCTAAAAATGCCACTCACAGAAGTTATGATATAATGCCCTGTACTCACTTTCAGCCAGCTTTGAGGTAGATCTCTCTCTCTAACAAATCAGGAGCGAAGATAGTTGATGTAGCGCATTATGTGAAATATATTCAGGTATGGATATCAGTTCATGAAACATTGCAATAAATTGCAATACGAAGCCAGTATTGTGGAAATCACCATGGGCTGTGTGGAATGATAGTGGAATACAGGGCTTCAGTTATTTGTAAAATGTTGCTTGTACCATATCAATATAATTATGATTATGTGTGTCAGACCATGTGTGATCACTGGTTCCAGAACCTCTCCCCACTGAAGGACATAGCATCACTGCAGACCGTCCAGTCCAGCAGTGGATACTCGAAGGTGATTCTACACTTAAACATTGGACAGTTAGGGTTGTGGAAGACACGTTTAGTGATGACACTTTCATGGAAGACAGTTTGTGTATCAGAAATATCACCATATTTGAGAGGGTTCTTGTCAAAGACCAGCTGGTTAATTCCAGTATTGTACCTCTGTCTCAAGATTTGACAAACTTTCCACCTGAAGTCTCGTCAAGTGAATCAACATTCTGGCACGATATTGTGTGCTACTCGATTCTGATTGGCTGAGAGCTCATCAAAACCGTACTTAAATGGCAGTTTAAGACCGCTTATTAAAGTGACCGATTCACCGCGTATGAATACAACGAATCGTTGACCCTATTGTTTGTAAACAAACATGTCGGACATCAGCAATTTCTATCTCAGGAGCATCTTTGGTGTTTTTCAAGTAAAAAGCGAATGGTTTGAAGATGAATTTCTTGACCTTAATCCCAGTGAAGAAACTAGGAAGCTGGAAAATCCGTCAGCAGCGCAAAAGCGGCAGTATATTCAAACCGGGTCCAGATCTACGTATGTTGACGTCGACAACACACGTCGGCCCACACGTCCTAACCTGACCGCTTCCGTCCCAGCTTCCACTCAACTGTCCATGTATCCCACATAAAACGTGGCATGTCAGGTCTTTTCCAAATTGGGAATAGTAGGGTGGTTATCAACAATTATTTCTGTGAATAAAGTTAGCGGCGACTAAACTTAGCGAGTTCACGGCTTGAATTTGGGCGAGTCGATTGTCATACAGTAGGGGAGATCAATACAGTACAACCAGAAATTATTGAGAATTTAAAGACTGTAATTTTATATATATTTTTTTCACTCATTACTCACATATTAAATGTGAATATTAGCAGAATTAGCGGGGCATACTACTGATCAAAGAAGTTAGAAAGTCGTGGTCCATGCTGTCCCAATATCGGACCACCTCTTCTTTCATTTCAGCAATATTTGTCAGATTTTTCTTATTGACACTTTCCTTCATAAGTCCCAAAACATTTTCTATTGGATTTAGGTCAGGGCTATAGCTTGGCCAATCTAATAATGTCATATTTTGGGTCTGAAACCAGGCCTGTGAATGCTTTGAACGATGTTTTGGGACGTGGTCCTCCTGGAAAATCAAAAAATTCCATAGAACACGTGAGCAGATGGAAGTAAATGTCCCTCGAGAATATGTGTGTACCGCTCACTGTTCATATTCCCTTCAAATACACAGAAGGGCGTTGCCCCTAACACAGATATGCCACCCCACACGTTAAACTTCGGACTGTACTTTGGGCGCTGATACAAAGGTTTTTCAGTTTGTTTGGTCCAGAATTTCAGTGTAGTAGGAAACAGCCACACAGAACTTTCATCTGAGAAAATCACATTGTCCCAGTTAAAATTTCTATGCTGTAAGCACCAGTTCAACCTTCGCTCCTTTTGTTCAGGTTTCATGATCGATGATGGAATTCCTCGACTTTTCTGCCAACCTATTGCATGCAGCTCAGTTCTAATTGTCTCCTTACAGACAGCCACAGTTCCTCTATCAATCATATCCAGCCTTAAGTTTTCTAAACTCCTTCCTTTGTTTTTAGAAACAAGAATACCAAGCCGCCTCCTGTCACCGACAGTCAATTTTCTTGGCCTACCTGCGCCTCCCTGGTGCTCAATGCCATATCCATTTGCAATATTTTTCAAAACACGATAAACAGTGGACAAAGAGATGCCTGTTCTACATGAAATCACTTTAGCTGATCTGATGTCCTTGTTATAATACTCTAAAATCAACTTCCTCTTCTCTAAATCATCCATACTGAGGATCACTGAAAATGTCATCTGCTAGCAAGTAAACAAAGGGGGATAACTCTTCACAAACTAATGAAAAAGGATTAACTGAGTTGTCTCTCTTGAATGAAACCAAGCACTTGATAGCTGGTCAAGGTTGTTTATACTAGAAATCCAATTAAACATATTCCTAAAATTCTCAATAATTTCTGGTCATACTATAATTCGCTTGAGAAAAATCAAATAATTGTACTTGCTCACAGTATAAACTGTATTTTGTTTATTTATGTATGCTTCTTGTCACAAATACAAGCATACTGTTTCCTGAAATAAACAATTTATGTTTTTTAAAATGTCTTATTTTGTTCATTACACAACCACGTTCGGTTTTTAAATTACATTTAGCGGTCTTAAATCAACGATAAAGGACCGCAAAATTGAAAACAGAGTAGCTTTATCTTCTAATTGAGGTTTCTTATCTGTATACATTTGCAAGTACCTTCTAAACAGCAAAACTCAGTTTTGTATCTTGAAAATGAATGTAAATGGTCGGTTTTGAATGAGGATTACTAATGGCTGCACTATGTTGTGGATATTGTACTATGATTGTACCCAGTATTTCTGACTGCCTTGTTCTTTGTGCTGTGTTTTGTTTTGAACAAATCCTTTTAAACAGTGACAAGTGGCAAGATTCTCACGAGCAATAACTGTGATTGATAACAGATGTTGTTGACAAAATTAATGTCTGTTGTTCAAAGTTTTCTAATCAATGACAAGTGGCAAGATTAACAGTCAGTATAACTGATTGACAACAGATGATGTTGATAAACTAAAGAAAGAAGTGAAGCCAGTTTGTCTGACTTCATGTTCATTTGGTTGACAAAGGTCATTCAGGTTTTGTATTGACATTAGCTACTGTGAAGGTGATCGTAATAAAGATCTGACCAAGATAAGCTCAGTCTTAGAGCCAGCTGTTCCATACTGTGGGGAAGATAAAGACCCCCCTCAGATCGTCAGCGATATCTCTGTGTATACCAGTTTTAGAATGATAAATAATTGTTTCAGATGACTCGAGCCTTCACGGTGCGTCTCTTCCAGACCTGGATCAAGGACTGCCTTGTCCAGAACCCGTTCGGAATATCAGCCTGTATTGCCACAGGGATGAGACTCTCCTGGCCATTTGCAGGTAAATACAGGTGTAGAGGAAACCCAGCAACACAGTATGGATTGACACATCACAGTTGATGACTTATTTCATTGTGTGTCACCCTGCCCAGCCAGCATGGTCATATCAATCTCTGTATGTTTTAGTCAAGACTTGTTCAGTTACAGGACGTTGTTAGATAGTTGAGTATTACCTGGTGACATGAAGAAACTAAGAAACCAAATAAATCTTTCAAGCTATGTGTTGATCAAGAGTTGTGTCCCTTGATGTGTTTGTCAGTAATAGGCTAACTGTTACTATTTTTAGTTTATGTAAATACAATAGTCTAGTAAATCTTGAGTGATGACCCAGCACGAGGCATCTTCCAGCTTGAGGTCTCACATTTAACTTATGAACATTTAAAACCAGCAAATACCAAGAAAGTAAGTCAAGTAAATCTGAGAGTACTTTACAGTGAGACAATACAATGTGTTAGGGTAAGACATGAATCCAATGATACCCTGCATGATCAGTAATGAAAGTATAAAGTCAGCATCAGATGCACACTAAGGGGGTCTTAATACTATTCAACTGTAAGACCTGGGTTTTACAATTCAGTAAGACATCCTCAGTTGTACAGTTAAAACATAAAACCTGTCAAAAGGTGTGACTTGAAGCAAGCCCCACTCACTAGGTTACAGTAAGGTAGCTGCAATATCACATGCAAGGTGGCAGTTGGTGTATGATGCAACAGACACATTGTGTCGATGGTGGTCAAGTCATGTGGTCCCTGGTCTGGTGTGACCCCTGGTAAGGTGTGACCCAGTCTGTTGTTTGTTGCCAGGAGAGGAGGGCAAGGGAGACGTCCCCACTCGAAGCAAACGTGGGAAGATTGCAACAAACGCCAACATCATCCCTAAGGAGCATATGAAAGGGTAGGGAGATTGTCATGCAGTCTGTTGTAGCTATAACAGTCACTGTTTAGAAGTCAAAGATATATATAATTATAAATATTAATAACACTTTTAATAATTTACATGTTATCTGTGCTTTTCTTTTCTCTATAGTTCGGTCACTCTTTTAAGTGTTTGACTGTTTCAGCAACAAGATGATCATAATGAGTCAAGTCAGTAAGGAAACTATAGCAAGGGTAAGTATTCAACAAACATCTTTGAACATCTTTGGACAGTAACTAGGGTCATTCCACTCTCATTAAAATCAGATCTGTTACTGCCAACATGACCCGTGAAGATCAGGGTTAGAATCAGACTTCAGTAACCTGCTTGTTGTAAGAAGTGCCTGACACTCGCTGACTTGGTTGACACATGTCATTGTATCCCCATTGCTTAGATCAGTGCTCATGATGTCAATCACTAGATTGCCTAGACCAGACTTGATTATTTAATATCCATATAGCTTGGATATTGCTGTGTGCATCATTCAACAACAAACAAACAAACAAAAAAAATCCTTTTTCTCTCCATCATGATCTGACAATCCCAAGGACTCCATCCCCTCCAGCATTCCCCTCACCATAGAACACTTAATAGAACAGTGAGTATCCTGCAGTGACGCTAATGTTGGCATCACTTGATCTACATTCACATAAGTCCCCACAGGTAGTTACAATCTGGAGAATTTGTTGTGAAGTCTTTTGACAGTCCTTCCCACCAGTCTTTAAGCTGATATGAGAGTGATGAAATCATGGTTGCACCCAGTTTCCTATCCCAGTGTGTAAAGCTGTGTGTATTTCTAACAGAGCTCCAACACCTTGGAGTTGAGCAGCATGAAGATCCATCGGAGCCACCACTCCTACCTGTATCTTCTGTCACCGCTAAGGTAAGTAACCATGGCAACTCGGTAACAATGATTGGAATCTGTGAGTCATGGAATTTTAGTTTGAGTTTCTCAGTTTTGGAATGGTTTTAGAGAATAGAAAATCAAAAAGGCAATGGAAAATTAATTAGACATGCATAACATATTACTGCAAGTATCAGCACTGGCTGGGCCATGGGGTTTAACCATTCATCCATTAGACATTCTTTCCTCGTGCTTAATTGCCAATTCTGTATGCAATTTCTAAAACTGAAATTTAGACGAGTGGCAAAGTGACCTACTGACCTACTGATTGCAGTTGTTTCCACTTAATTCACGATGATTATTTGATATGCAGGGAGTATGTTGCAATTAAAATAGCACGTAATATGACAGTATCAGTGTTTCGGCACTTCATGTGGCTCCTCTGAAATATACAAGCCGTAAGGAGTTGAAACTTTGTATAAATCATTGAATGGAGCTGGCTATGCTTCCTAAAACTGCTCCAAGAATTCCAGTCTGACTCTTTTACATGTTTTTGTACAATTCAGATATGGAATGTTTTGGTTCTAAGGGACCGTTCATAATTTATGTCTATGGGGTGATGATGATTTTTATGGAGAAGCCTGTAAAATGTGAATGACCCCGCCTAAAATTTATGTACAAAGGAAGTGAAACCCCCCTGCATGTCATGTGCAAAACCAATGACCCCCTTCCCCCTTTCCATATTTCTAAAGCATAATTTTAAAATATTTTTATGTACAAAATTGATGACCCCCTACCTCCCCAGAACAAAATTGGTGACCCCCCCCTTAAAATCATCATCACACACTCACTCTGTCTCTCTCTCTCTCTGTCTCTCTCTCTCTCTCTCTCTCTCTCTCTCTCTCTCTCTCTCTCTCTCTCTCTCTCTCTCTCACACACACACACACACACACACACACACACACAGAGCCATAAATTATGAACGTTCCATAATGTCTGAAATGAAGCTTGTTACGGAATGTAAGTACCCCTCAGATTCAAAGATTTTGGTTCTGTGGTGGAGTGTGATTCATCAGCATTTGCTGTTACAGATCGGTGACGATAGAGAAGTGTCGGAATACAACTGTTGTGTTGGGGCCAGTGGAGACATGTGTGCACCTGAGCAACTGTGAAAATGTTACAGTCATAGCCGTGTGTCGCTCCATCATGGTCAGGTGAGAATATGTCAGGTATATTTCTGTGTCACTCTAATTCCCTTGTCCCTTGTGAATGCCACCAAATTAATGTTTTACATAACGATTGGTCTACAGACATGTTTATTTAATAACCTTTACATGTTATTCTCTAACCTTGAAAGATTAAATGATTCCTCCATGTTCTAGTGGTTGTACTCTGTGTACCCTGCACCTGCTGACCCCAACACGACCCATCCTGCTGAGTGGGAACGATACCATCCTCCTGGCTCCGTACCACACGTTCTACCCCCAGCTGGAGGAACACATGTCTCTAGTGGGCATCTCCGCATCTCTCAACCACTGGGACCAGCCGCTGTGTGTGGGTGAGTACCATCGACAGTAGCTTATTTTAACATTTAGGCCTCAGCATTGTTTCTATCCTGCACAGATAACCTAATATGTATGTACGTGTTCATGAGAAACCTTGTGTTGCAGGACCTGACCACCGAGACGAGACACCTGTCTGGGAAATAATGCCAGTCCATGAGTTCTTCACCTTCACTGTGCCCTTTCACATGGAGGGCCCCACCAAGGTGACTTCACTACACATGTAGTTTTCCAGTCCAGTATTTCTAGCTCATCATCAGACTATTGGTAGCTCGTAGTATGTGCCCAAGCTGTTGTGTATTTGAGTGCCCTATTCACACTGGCATACTGTAAAATATGGAGTGGAGTCTTGGAGTGGAGCCTTGGAGTGGAGTATGGAGTATAAGTGCACTTGTCACTACTGTAAACACTGATTACTGTCTAGAATATGCCATTAATGGTTCTTCCCAGTTGTCGTTTATACCTCCGGAATCACCGGTTTCAAAAGTAAATATCTTATCTTACTCATCTTAGAGATTAGTCTTTCTTTTTTTTACAGCTCTCGTAGAAATATTTGTTAATGCTTGTCAGTTTACTCCAAACTTATTAATAAATCGTCACAAATTCGAACTCTGTGTAATTATACTTTCATTTGTAGACAGCAACGTAATCGAGATTGTAAAAATGTTTACATGGCAATCCACAGCAGCATTCCTTTAGCTCTCTGACATTCTGAGGGCAGATTGTATCAGTGATGTGTTTCCTCTAATCTGTCACATTCCAGTGGACTGCCCATACATAACCTGACAGAAAGTCAAGAGTTTCGAAGCCATAGAGAGCTGATGAAACTCACTAACAATCAGCTTGCAAAATATTCTCCTGCATTTTTTTTTGCTTTTTGTTTGTAAGTTCAAGGATGTAGAGAGATGGCTATTTCTGAACAAAAAGCAAAACAATTATGACTTAGGAACAGTTACTTTTGCCATCACTGACAATAAATCCAGTTCTTCAATAATATAGTGCTACGTATCTTATGTAATCAATTTCTTTGTTAAGTAAGAAATAAATAATTCATGCAATAATAACTGTTATATTCCCTGATGATAAGCATGTTTTAGCATAGACCTAATTAATGTACCTTTTCCCTTACTACCGCTTCCTCTACACAAATTTGAATTTACATGTGACAATGTTATATATGTAGTTTTTTGGCTAATAAATAATGCCATTATTAATATTTTGTTTACAGGTTGTAAATAATTTACATGCTTCTCCATCCATCCATTCATCCATCCTTCCATCTATTCATATACATTTTTCTTCTTGATGGCAGCGTGGTACTGTTACAGAATGACAATTCTGGAGTTGACAGGGCTAATTGATACGTGTATACAGAATGCCTCCTGTCTTCTGATAAAACTGATAACACCAACCAGCTACAGATGTGAAATGAATGTGCTTGTATAGCTACCCCTATGATCAAAGCAAAACAAACTCGGTCACCTAAATATTTACATTAAGACTCCATTCCGAGACTCCACTCCAAGACCCCACTCCAAGACTCCACTCCATGTTTTACAGTATGCCATTCACACTAGTCGCTGGGATCTGTTTGGTACGCAGATGAGGCTGCAACTAGGTGTCAGTGTAACTGTCAGGTTGTCCATCTTCAAGCCATGTGCCACTTCAGCTCAGCATAAAACCTCGGTCTTGAACACCTTTATTTTTACATGTAGTCAATTCCTGGAGGTCTGGCCAGCCGGTATCAGAAGGCGGTCAGCCAGCGGCACAAGGAGATTGACCGATGGCAGAAGATGGTGAAGGACGCAGGACTGACTCGGGACCAACGCAAGGAGTTCCAGAGTCTTGTTGAGACCAGGTTCCATGTAAGTTGTCCGTGAATACAGAGGATCTGTGGTCTTCCTGTTATATTATACCAAGTGTGAGCCATCACCTTGTTCAGCGATGTTCTGACAAATGAATGCTCAAATTACTGCAGTAATATTTCATGCCTTCATATTGCTTCAGAGTCAATAGTGTTTTCAAAACACATTCATTGGGTTGGGTTCATTTGATTTTACAACTCATCGCGAAGCCCAGTATTTAGGTTATATTACAGTCATCTTAAAGTAGAAGTGATTTGGTGTCAAAGGCTGCTTGTTCTGTTGGAGGAGTCCTAAACTCACATGCAATGCAGGTCTCAGATATACACCACTTTTGTAAACTCATTGTTTACAAACCTAGAAACCTAAGGGATTCAAAACCATAGATTTCTAGCACTGAAGAGACAAAAATATGCACTGCAAATTGAGCAGCCTAAGTCGCCTGGATGACCCATGAGTTGATGTAGCTGGAACACTTGACTGTGGTTTGAGAACTCCATAATGACTGTTGACCTTGCAGGTGTGGCTGTCCGAGATGGGGCACAAGAAGGAACTGGATAGTCTGGTGTTACCCTTACAGTCACATGGGAAGAGATAAGACTCACCTCAACAGTGTTACCCTTACAGTCACATGGCAAGAGTTGAGACTCACCTCAACAGTGTTGCCCTTACAGTCACATGGCAAGAGATGAGACTCACCTCAACAGTGTTACCCTTACAGTCACATGGCAAGAGTTGAGACTCACCTCAACAGTGTTACCCTTACAGTCACATGGCATGAGTTGAGACTCACCTCAACAGTGTTGCCCTTACAGTCACATGGCATGAGTTGAGACTCACCTCAACAGTGTTACCCTTACAGTCACATGGCATGAGATGAGACTCACCTCAACAGTGTTACCCTTACAGTCACATGGCAAGAGATGAGACTCACCTCAACAGTGTTGCCCTTACAGTCACATGGCACCAGATGAGACTCACCACAACAGTGTTGCCCTTACAGTCACATGGCAAGAGTTGAGACTCACCTCAACAGTGTTACCCTTACAGTCACATGGCAAGAGATGAGACTCACCTCAACAGTGTTGCCCTTACAGTCACATGGCATGAGTTGAGACTCACCTCAACAGTGTTACCCTTACAGTCACATGGCAAGAGATGAGACTCACCTCAACAGTGTTACCCTTACAGTCACATGGCAAGAGATGACTCACCTCAACAGTGTTACCCTTACAGTCACATGGCACCAGATGACTCACCTCAACAGTGTTACCCTTACAGTCACATGGCAAGAGTTGAGACTCACCTCAACAGTGTTACCCTTACAGTCACATGGCAAGAGTTGAGACTCACCTCAACAGTGTTACCCTTACAGTCACATGGCACCAGATGACTCACCTCAACAGTGTTACCCTTACAGTCACATGGCAAGAGATGAGACTCACCTCAACAGTGTTGCCCTTACAGTCACATGGCAAGAGATGAGACTCACCTCAACAGTGTTGCCCTTACAGTCACATGGCACCAGATGAGACTCACCACAACAGTGTTGCCCTTTACAGTCACATGGCAAGAGTTGAGACTCACCTCAACAGTGTTACCCTTACAGTCACATGGCAAGAGATGAGACTCACCTCAACAGTGTTGCCCTTACAGTCACATGGCACCAGATGAGACTCACCACAACAGTGTTGCCCTTACAGTCACATGGCAAGAGTTGAGACTCACCTCAACAGTGTTACCCTTACAGTCACATGGCAAGAGATGAGACTCACCTCAACAGTGTTGCCCTTACAGTCACATGGCATGAGTTGAGACTCACCTCAACAGTGTTACCCTTACAGTCACATGGCAAGAGATGAGACTCACCTCAACAGTGTTACCCTTACAGTCACATGGCAAGAGATGACTCACCTCAACAGTGTTACCCTTACAGTCACATGGCACCAGATGAGACTCACCACAACAGTGTTGCCCTTACAGTCACATGGCAAGAGTTGAGACTCACCTCAACAGTGTTGGCATACAGTAACATGGCAAGAGATGAGACTCACCTCAACAGTGGTGCCCTTACAGTCACATGGTAAGAGATGAGACTCACCTCAACAGTGTTACCCTTACAGTCACATGGCAAGAGATGAGACTCACCACAACAGTGTTGCCCTTACAGTCACATGACAAGAGATGAGACTCACCTCAACAGTGTTACCCTTACAGTCACATGGCAAGAGATGAGACTCACCTCAACAGTGTTGCCCTTACAGTCACATGGCAAGAGATGAGACTCACCTCAACAGTGTTGGCATACAGTAACATGGCAAGAGATGAGACTCACCTCAACAGTGGTGCCCTTACAGTCACATGGTAAGAGATGAGACTCACCTCAACAGTGTTGCCCTTACAGTCACATGGCAAGAGATGAGACTCACCTCAACAGTGTTACCCTTACAGTCACATGGCAAGAGATGAGACTCACCTCAACAGTGTTGGCCTTACAGTCACATGGCAAGAGATGAGACTCACCACAACAGTGTTGCCCTTACAGTCACATGGCAAGAGATGAGACTCACCTCAACAGTGTTGCCCTTACAGTCACATGGCAAGAGATGAGACTCACCTCAACAGTGTTACCCTTACAGTCACATGGCAAGAGATGAGACTCACCTCAACAGTGTTGCCCTTACAGTCACATGGCAAGAGATGAGACTCACCTCAACAGTGTTGGCCTTACAGTCACATGGCAAGAGATGAGACTCACCACAACAGTGTTGCCCTTACAGTCACATGGCATGAGTTGAGACTCACCTCAACAGTGTTGCCCTCACAGTCACATGGCAAGAGATGAGACTCACCTCAACAGTGTTGCCCTTACAGTCACATGACAAGAGATGACACTCACCACAACAGTGTTGCCCTTACAGTCACATGACAAGAGATGAGACTCACCTCAACAGTGTTGCCCTTACAGTCACATGGCAAGAGATGAGACTCACCTCAACAGTGTTGCCCTTACAGTCACATGGCAAGAGATGAGACTCACCACAACAGTGTTGCCCTTACAGTCACATGGCATGAGATGAGACTCACATCAACAGTGTTGCCCTTACAGGCACATGGCATGAGATGACTCACCTCAACAGTTTGGATCTTGACTTTGAGTTTATTAGCATTCACAAGAACACAATAAACTGTGTACTGTTAGAAATGGTTAGATTATTATGACATAGTCTGTGGAGGATTAGCAAACATCTGCTTGTGCTGATGAATCATCTCTGTGTCATGTTATCAACATTTTCCCACTCTTTCTTGTAGTTATTATTTGAAATGAAATACAAAGGTAATGTACATAAAAAATATATTGATGATGCACTGTTCAAATATCTCTACCTGCTCTTGTAAATGCTGTACAATAAAATGCCACTGGAATACACAAGTTTGCCTGAAACCACTAAAGCCACATGTAGTTCTTGGATGGACCCTGGTTTGTCTTTGCTTGTTTGCTGCATGTAGTTCTTGGATGGACCCTGGTTTGTCTTTGCTCGTTTGCTGCATGTAGTTCTTGGATGGACCCAGGTTTGTCTTTGCTTGTTTGCTGCATGTAGTTCTTGGATGGACCCTGGTTTGTCTTTGCTCGTTTGCTGCATGTAGTTCTTGGATGGACCCAGGTTTGTCTTTGCTTGTTTGCTGCATGTAGTTCTTGGATGGACCCTGGTTTGTCTTTGCTCGTTTGCTGCATGTAGTTCTTGGATGGACCCTGGTTTGTCTTTGCTCGTTTGCTGCATGTAGTGAATGAATTATGTTTTAAGCCAGCTTTATGTTTGACCAGAAATAGGCCTTCCTCCTTGTACCCCTGCAACTGGGGGCTGCAACAAGTGCTTGCAGTGTTAGTCAGTGAGATACTACACAATAAGCCTAGAACACTTCAGCTCTCAACATCAGGTGTACCAATCCAGGATATTGGAAACGTGCATCACATTATAAGGTTACAAAAATGACTTCTTGTATTGAAATAATTTAAACTCATACAAATTTTCAGTACATCCCCTGAACACAATGTGATATATATATTTTTACAACAGGTGCAGTGGGATGCATGTTTATGGTACGTTACCTGAAAGACATGACACTAACTACAGTTGTAAACAAATCAGGTGTTCAACCTGTTTATAGTGATATGCTAAAACAAAGTTATTGTGTTATACACAAGACTGTATGAAGCGATCGCGAGGACTTGCATTAGTCTCACATATCCTGGTCTTGCAATTAAATTGAATATGAAAATGTTCTTTGTTCATGAGGAATATCAGGGGCAGATACACCCCCAACCCACACACACCCCTCTGGATCCGCCTATGAATATGTATGCAGTTTGATAACGGCACTTTAAGGATGACAGTTTCTTTATACCATTATCATGTGACATTTCAGAATTGATCTCGGATCAATGAATGTGACAGAAGAAAAGATCAGAAAATATAACGGTACACAGACATGATGTACTTGTATGAATTTCAACATACCTTGCATGGAAATTCATGGTTCGTCAAAGTGGAAACAGCTCACAACCAATAAGATTTGTACAATCAGGTGGTCACAGAGAAACATTTCGTCCTTGATTTAACTTCAATATGTTCTCGATAAACACAGGTCACAAACATACATGTCTCTTTGTGTTGTTTGTTTGTTGTTTTACGCTGCACTCAGCAACATTCCAGCTATATAGCGGCGATATGTAAATAATCAACCAGACATTCCAGTGATTAACATCATGAGCATCAATCTATGCAACTGGGATAAGATGACGTGTCAACCAAGTCTGCGACCTTGACCACCCGATCCTATTAGTCTCCTTTAACGACAAGCATGGGTTGCTGAAAAATAATTCTAACCCGAATCTTCACAGGTCGTTTTTCGGTCAAACCGAATATTTGCAGTATGATCCAGCTGGATATTTCATCAGTTTTGGTGATCCCTTTATCAGGAAGAAATACAAAGAAAGCACACCAGCATTAAGCTGGTTCCAAGAGTTATGGCCCTTAGCTTCTAGGATCTGCTTATCATGGATTCGAATCCCAATTTGGTTCCTTGGTCAGCACAACACCAATACTCATGGATTTCATCCTCAGAGTGACCCATGAAGGTCTGGGTTAGAACTGATCTTCAGTAACCCATGCTTGTCGTAAGAGGCGACTAACGGGATGGGGTGGTCAGGCTCGCTGACTTGGTTGACACATGTCCTCGGCTCCCAATTGCGCAGGTTGATGCTCATGCTGTTGATCACTGGATTGTATGGTCCAGACTCGATTATTTACAGACCGCCACCATATAGCTGGAATATTGCTGAGTGTGGCGTAAAACTAAACTCACTCACTCATCCTCGTAATAAAGGTGTGAACTTGTATCACTTAAACCATGACCTTTGACACTGTCCAAATTGACTTCGACTGACACCAAATTACCATATGGGTTACACGTCTGCTTGCCATGAGAGAAGACCAAATATCGCATGACTAGATTCTGATGTGAGTACTGACAACGAATCATTGCTTACCATATCAATCACTGAATTGTCTGGCCCAGACTAGATGATTTACAGGACAAACAACAAAGTTAGTAAAAACAATAGAACTTTTCAATTAATTTTTATTTCTTGTAGCATTTTTCATGCAATCATATATTCACATATAAATACTGGTTAACACATAATAGTCAATTTAATATTTAACAATAATCCATTCAGCGTTTTCACTTGGCAGTGATAAGAGTATTCCCCTCAATATTCATCATAGCACATGCATGTGGTCATCAAATATAACTTTGTACATTCATATAGAACAAAAATATATAAAGTGTGATTTTTACAAGTTTGATTTTGACTGAAGACCCAGTCAGAAGTTCTGGAGTCTACTTGTCCAAGATTTTGGGTCATCTCTGAAAAAAAAGTAAAGAATATGCCATTATAAACAGTCCTGTATTCATGGTTACATTCATGTATTTCTCTGGTAGTTCTGACTGGCATAATACTTCATTCAGCCTCTCTATATCACAGTCCCTGCACCATATCTTCCCTTCGGCCAAGTCTATTTCTGTTATGAAAAAGCCCAAAATGAAGGAAGTTTAGATGTTCCTGGACTGAATGTCCCATCTCATTAGGACCCTTTTCAGTTTTAGAGTTATTTGGTGTTGACAGGAGGAACATGCCATCTTGAGAACATTCAACATGTTTTACTGGGGTCATGTCAGGGGACTTAGCTGGCCAGTCCAATGTTATCAGGGGCGGATACAGCTTTTGAGAAAGTGGGGTGCACACTTCATTTTCACCCGTTTTCAATGGTCATTTAATAAACTTTCAGGACAAAATGGGGGTGCCAAGCCTGCACCATCAATCCCACCACCACCCACACCACCCACACACACACCCTGGATCCGCCTATGGTTATACTGTCTCAATGGAGATAATCAATCATGATCTGGGCACAATGGTGGTGCGTGGCACTGTCTCCTTGCAGTTTGAAAATTTCTGCCTATAGTGAATGTAGCAACAGTGCAGCCAAAATGCAAGATCTGCAAGATATTTGTGCGAAGTGTGCATGAGTTCCTCACCTGATCTCGTCCTTGGTGATGGTTCCTCCATTCAGCATCAACTGGGCAGCCTGAGACACAATGGGGTCAAAGGCCAGACTGGCCACTGCTACCACGCTCTCTCCTCTGAAGAAGGGAAAAGTCTGTTGTAGTTTTACAACAATCCTGGCGTATGAGTGAGTGAGTATGGTTTTACACTGCTTTTAGCAATATTCCAGCAATATCACGTCTAGGGACATCAGAAATGGGCTTCACACATTGTACCCATGTGTGGAATCGAACCTGGGTCCTCAGCGTGACGAGTCAACGCTTTAACCACTTGGCTTCTTCACCACCAGCATGGGGTATGATAAAGGCAGAGAGGGATCCTGGCGTTGCCGCTACTAGGATAGGTAGGTACATATATCAATGGTGATGTCCAACCCACAAATCAAACAACTCGTTGTTCAGACCACTCCTCACACAGACCACTCTTCACACAGACCACTCGTCACACAAACCACCTCACAGACCACCTCATTGTTCAGACCACTCTTCACACAGACCACTCCTCACACAGACCACTCATCACAATTTAATGACATCACTAATATTTTTACCATTAGCTGTTAACAGCAGCACCAGTCAGCAAAACCATAACGTAACATCTTTATGACATGGTTGGGGATCAAACCACCAAGTTGACAGTTTATCCTCTAACCTCACACTCATGAGAGAATGTTGCTTCAGTACTTACTTAGTGTAGAAAGCAGCAAATTTGGGTGCTTCCAGATCTCCATGGACAATGACATCATCGTAGCCAGGCCCGTATCCTGAACATAGAAAAGATCTGTTAGGATGTTGCATGTATTAGTGTCAGCAGTGTCCAAGCAGCTGCCCTCTCCCAATGTGCATCTTCCCAGAACCGGCTTACCCTGTGGTTAGACAGCTGCACGACGTGCAGTATTGTGAAGAACGATTTCCGTCAGTGTCCAGTTATCACGACACATTTCTTGATGTACATGTTTCCAACAAGGTACCATGGATTTGTGGAGGTAATTTCTGGTAAGAGTGATGATTATCTGTTCTAGCTAATCCTATCTTTGTTGATGACATGGCTGACTTCCCCCTGTATGACTCACCTGTGTAGCGGACACTCTTGCCGTACTGCACCGTCCAGAAATACGGGACACTTCGCACCTCGGTCGTCTTCCCCAGCATATTGAGGGCAGCTATGTGACCTGGAGTGAACAGTTAACAGTATCACTGTCTGCTGGGGAATAATGTCTCCCATTCACTGTCTGATGGGGAATAATGTCTCATATTCACTGTCTGATAGAGAATAATGTTTCCCATTCACTGTCTGATGGGGAATAATGTCTCATATTCACTGTCTGATGGGGAATAATGTCTCCCATTCACTGTCTGATGGGGAATAATGTCTCATATTCACTGTCTGATGGGGAATAATGTCTCCCATTCACTGTCTGATGGGGAATAATGTCTATTATTCTTTGTCTGTTGAAGAACAAACCTTGACTTAACCATATCCAGCAGTTTGTTAAGGCAAACACACATTCAGCTTATTTGTTGGTCTCCAAAAATAAGTATCTGTTGTATTCAACAGCCACTGAATCCAGTGCTTATGAGAGGAACATGGTTCTCATGTGATGTTGGTTCACAACAAGAAACAGACAGAAAATGGACAAATTAATCTCACCTATGTTCTATAGGTAATACTATAAACATCTGTGGTAGTTTGATCCCGAGGACTGTCTCCTTACCCTGCTTGTGTGCCATCTGCCAGTGCTGGATGTTAGCCTGCTGGTTCCCCGCCATGAACAGCGGGAACTCCACGATGTCCCCAGCAGCATAGACGTCAGCAACGTTGGTCTGGAGACTCTGTTAACCATACACAAGACACTCACGTCATCAATATGTTTTGGGCAACATGGCCTTGCATTCATCTACACAATGCATTGCTTCCATGTCAGGCAACCATCTAGTTCACAGAAATTTCAACCCTCAACAACAAAGTGAGACAGGCCAAACCCTCTCAGTCCATCCTCAGGGCGCTGGGGCTCCTGAATACACAATGCCATTTAGAAAGTGGGCAAATTAACACGTTATATTTGGGATTACAGTTTCTCAGTAAAGTACACATACTAGTACACTCAGCCACCACTTATAACATATGTTACTCACTCTTCTAATAAATATAATAAATACATTCAAATTATTTACAACCATTCCTGCATTTCTGTTCAGGTTTGAATGACGACACTAAAAGTGACCAACTACTCAAATCACACTTGTGACAGAGAACAGCGGAAAGTTATACGTGAGAGAGATGGAGACAGTGATGCCATAAACGATGCTGTGGATATTAAACCAAAAGGTCAATGATTTGATTCCCTGGATAACCGATGATGTCTCTGGTCTGTATCTTCATCTGATGACATATTCATTCCTCCTAGCGTGCTGTGAGGAGACACTAGTAATACCAGTGTAGGAAAGATGTAGAAAATCTAGCCTGTCCACAGGACTGGCTGGTCAAATATTTTACCAGTCCTGCCAAAATCTAGCCTGTCCTCCAAATATAAATAAAACACCATTTCAAGACTTAAAACTGGTTTGTTTTATTTTAAGCTATATTTTAATATGCACACACAGAGCTTGGACTGTTAAATCTCTCCTAGTGGAATCATCTGGTTACAACATGACAGAACTAGTCTTCAGACAAGTCATCAACATCTCGATCAAGATCTGAAAAGTCAGAGTCATAGTCTGAATCTGCATCCTTGCCAGTTGCACATTCAACATTGACTAGAATAAGAGTAAATTCGCTCAGTCATAGCAGCAGACCGACCGATGAGGGTTACGCCATTTTGGTTTGAAATTGGGGCAAACAAGAAACACGTTTTCCTATTTGTTGATTCTGTGACAACCGGCCAATCACACACTTCCTTACTAAATTCATTTCAAGAAGCTTCTTATAGCAAACATATCTCATCGATTTTGTTTGCGATAATTTTATCTGTTTGATTATTCTAGTATCCTTTGGCAGTAAATATTCAAAAAGGTTATAATATAATAATGATTATGTCATTGGTTTGCTAAAACTCACCCGACATGAGGACGGACCAGATTTTTTTTTAACCCGTCCTCCACAAAATTCACCCGTCTCGGATGTTGGGACGGGCTATCTTTCCTACACTGGTAATACCATTAGTATATCTCACCTTATCCACAGTAATGAATCCTCTGGTTGTCATGGAGATACCAGAATCCTCCAGGAAGTCTGTTGCAGGCACAACACCTGGAAAGATGCAGCGAATGCAGGATAAAGACACCATGGTTTAGAGAGTAATATGGTTGTCATCAAAAGCTGACCGCTGACTGGCTCCAGATCAAATGCATCCTTCTTTAGGTGAAGAGGTCAAAGTCACCTCTAGCCAAGGTTGTCTTGATGACAGAGCTTACCCAAACATGGTTCCCATTAGATGGCTTTTACCACAAGCATGGGATAACAGGCACTCCTTATACCATAAATATTGGCTAACACACACCTGTTTTAATACAAGCATGTAATAACATGCACCCCTTTTACCATGATCATGTGATCACAAGCACCCATTTTTGCACAAATATGTGCTACCATCGACCTGTTTTACCACCGGAAGGGGACAACAGTGACCATTTACATCCCAAATGGTCTGAAACATTATTTAGCTTGCGCAGTCACCTTTCAGACCTATATTTCCTCACCAATAAAAGTTTCCTTTTGGATTTAATAAATTTATTTGGATTTTATATAGTTTGTGTAATTGAAGACATAAAATGTAAACACCACTGTACTGTCAAGAGCAGAAACACCATTTATCTTACCTTCATGTAAAATACTTTAATTTCACTGGTCAATGACGCTTTAACAAATTTCCGTGTCACCTCTCCTAGGAGGATGACAACTGGAAAAAATATTATCCGCTGCCACGGTAACCAGCTCGAGTGACACTGCTACACAGATACATACATCAGGCCGTATTACCCTCGAGGGAAGCATACAACTTATAATATACCACTTTCTGGACATACATCAGGCTGTATTACCCTCGAGGGAAGCACACAACTTATAATATACCACTTTCTGGACATACATCAGGCCGTATTACCCTCGAGGGAAGCATACAACTTATAATATACCACTTTCTGGACATACATCAGGCCGTATTACTTCGAGGGAAGCATACAACTTATAATATACCACTTTCTGGACATACCGATTCCAAGAACACAGATATCTGCTTCCAGCTTAGTTCCATCAGACAAGATGGCCTCTGTCACCTTCCCGTCTACACCTACAAACTCTTTGACACTTCTCTCGAAGTAGAACTTGACACCTTTGTCTTCATGCATCTGAAATCATAAACTTGGTTGACCAATCAAGAACTTCAAATCCACTTGCTTGCTTAATACAAATATCTTGGGCAAAGTAATATTTGTCTCCAGAATTCATCAATTTTGAAAAGCTGAATTAAATTTTTTTTTGAAGTACATGATTGGTCTTACAATTAGGCGGAAATTAAAATCAGAATGAAGGATGAAAGATGAGTCATAGTTTTCACAAGAATGTTAATAATGTAATGTTAATAAATCTGATTCATATGTTGTTTAAAGTTCAAGTTAATTGTGTTACAAGAATCATACAGTAGAAACAAACATTCGACATCACATGGTGACATATTTGATGTTAACTATGATTTTAATCCAAAAATTAATTCTTAAAGAACATGACATTATGAGGGTAACATTAGAAACAAGAGCACGGCTAAGCACAATCATGTTAACTGTTATCATGAGTAATTAAACTGTTATCATTATATATTAAGTGAAGTAAGGACTATGGGAGTAGATAGGTTTATGCAGTGATTAGCATCATCCCGGCAGGAAGACACAATGAAATCAGAAATAAACATCAGGAAATTTAATAAAGAACATTTTAAAAAATCATTTTTAAATTGATAAATTGTGCAAAAAATCCCTACTTTAATATTAGTAAAATATAAATATTTTTCATATTTGTATACTTATCCTGCACTACTTACTTCCTGCACTTATTGCTTACGACTCGCGAAACGTGGCTGTGCCAGACGATTGATGTTGAAAAGCGTAGACTGCAATCACTTCCTGGTCTCGGGTAAACATCCGTCTGCACACGCATCACCGGAAGATGACGTCAGCCACCTCAGATTATTGCCGTAAATCCCACAGATGAATACAAAGAGGGGAGGTAGCTGAAAGCGCAGGGTGGGCCCTTATCATAAGTAGTGCAGGATAAGTATACAAATATAAAAAATATTTATATTTTACTAAATTTTTAACTAATCCTGCACTACTTGCTTCCTGCACATTTATCGGACAGGCAGGATGGAGGGCGTGTCATCTGTGGGGATCGCCCCGCAAGGTAAACAAAGACAGCTCGGTCAATGTTATCAAGTGCACCTCGGTGGTGGAAAACCGTCGTCGCACCTAGATCGGACAGCGAGTGACGATCAGGAAGTGGTAATACGCGCATATATAAAACACGTAGTCTTATACCACACGATTTTTAAAGCGTTATAGGCTTTAGGGAAATGCAGTAAAAAGCAGTGACTCGAGTTAACCAAAGCGTTACTCCTTAACTGACAGACCCAGTTGTTCTCCCAGAACAACTCTCTTCCCACACAGCGTCGGCGTGCTTCATGGGAAGAAAAAGTATGGTGGAAGGTATCTTTGTTGCACCTGGAAGAATAGTCAACAAACAGTGACTATCTCTCAGTGGTAATTCGCATATAAGACAGGCAGGCTTAAATGGAAAGACCACGCGATTTTTAAAGCGAGATTAGCTTTATGGAAATGCAGTGAAAAGTATTGACTTGAGTTTTTCCAAGTGTTACTCCTTAACTGACATACCCAGTTGTTTCCCTCGGAACAACTCTTTTCCCACACGGCATCGTCGTGCTTCGTGGGAAGAAATATCATGAAGGAAGGCACCTTTGTGGAATCTGGAAGAATGGTCAGCAGAGAGGGATTATATCTCAGTGGCAATTCGCATATAAGCCATGTACGCTTAAATGGAATAAGACCACACGGTTTTAAGGCGTTATTAGCTTTAGGGAATGCAGTAAAAAGCATGGACTTGAATCTATTGTGTGACTCCTTAACTGACATACCCAGTTGTTTTTCTCAAAACAACTCATTCTCCACACGACATCGTTGTGCTTCGTGGCGTCGTGGCGAACAACAATGAGGTGATAACCGTCGGGGATTGGTGAGGTGCTGGTCTGATGCGTTGGACACATGTGGTGTGGCTACTGATTGGCGAAGACTGTGTCTGACGTCTAGAAACACTCATGCATGATCAATGCCACTGTTCAGTTACTGTGAAGTGCCATAGTCCAGGCAAGTGTACGAAGTACATGAGGATGGCGTAGATGAGGGGAAACCAGACCAGCCACATTATACGCATGAATAATGGTAGTCCGTATCCACAAAACACTTGTGGTTTCGCTTACATGTCTCTGACGGCTTGGGGAACACTTGCGCTTAATGTACAAACTGAGTACATCAACTGAACACAAAAGTAACACAGGAATGTCGTCAACGCCGACAACAGACGATAAAGGCGAAGAGAGAACTATCGATCATTTCGCGCTGGTAACTGGGTTATAGTGATGAAATCCCAATCAAATACCCAGAGGCATAGAACCATGACGGTGTCGTTCAAACTTGACCCAATTAACACCAAGCGCATGACCCTTGTCGCTATCGCTGTGCAAGTCTGCAAGGGAAGTGTTCGTGAGTGGCTTGCAAGACACAACGCGTAGGCGGTCCAAGACCGTGTAGAGAATCCTGGCGGGTGGTCAAAACTGCAGCCTGGGGTACTCCAGCTCTAAACAAGCGAAGCATGGACAGTAGCTCCTGTCAATGGGGACTGCCAAAACAAAGGGAATTGCCACTAACAGAAGTGGCAACCATGCCCCTCTTGGAACGCTTTCCCTGTAAAAATACAGCAGTGAGACTGCTAAAACAGGGGGGATACATTCAGCGGATCCTGCTTCGCGGCAACACAACTCCTCGAACGACTGCCCCTTGTTATACATGTGCCTAATGGAAGTCCAATGTTCATTAGCAAAGCAGTAACAATGCTCTGGCTGAAAAGCAATTGGTGCAGAATGCCACCTGAAGATGCAGTGTGTTAATTGAACCGTTCTGGCGTGGGATGAGGATGCACTAGGATGTTTCCACATCTGGCTAGTTGAAGAGGAGCTCTTGACGCTTGAAACCAACCTCTGGTTGGTCATCTGGGACCAACTAATTTTAGTCGAAGTCAAGTTGTTAATTCTTGATTGTGACTAAAACATTTGGAAGCAAGACCGGAGGGAACGTATTTTGCATGTAGCTTCCCCAGGAAAGACTTAAGCCATCCACTGCCCAGGTTGACCATCCGGAGACAGAGACACATAAACCGGTATCTCTTTGTGTAGCATTCATTCTGTGAAAGCGACTCTGTCAGACCCCAATATAGCCTCCGCTAAGATGTACCCGCACCCAGGAATATGCTGAGTGCTCAGATGGATATGGGTGTCAGCCATTACTGGAAACAGACGGAACGTCTGGAAACAGTAACCCGGTCAAACACTCGTTAAACCCCACAACAATCATGTTGCCCATTAGCTATTGCGCCCAGTGACAGATGGTGAGGAACACTGCCTTGAGCTCCAAACTGCTTATTGATTTCACGGCCGAAAACCTGAGGTTATCAGATCTAGTAAGTGCATGGGCTCCTCAATTCTGCATGGAGGTGCCGACTAAAACGTATGTAGTTCGGAACTCGCTCAGTCAAGGTGACTCCACCTATGACATCTAAGGGTGAGTCCACTAAAAGGAAAAAAATAACTGATGTAAATGAGGCAGGAGGCCAACACGTTAACGAAATATGGCGGAGAGCCCACGTGAAATAACCAAATTATCACTGTTGCTGCGCTAAGCAGGTACTCCCGGTCAAAGGTAAACCTTGGAACCCGGCACATCGTAGAGGCAGAACTATGAAGAGCCAGAACCCATGTGTCCATATGTTGTGACGTATGGACACCCAGAAATAACCAATTACGTCAGAACGCACTCGTCACCAATGTACGGGTGTTTGGATAATACAAGGGCCTAGTGGATGAGGGAGTGTCCAGTCATGTGGATCTTGAACTTTTGTTTTTTTGCCCCTGCTTCCGTCACCCTTGAAGGGGATGCAGCTACGTTCATATCCTCTCTTGTTGATGTGAGATTTGTCACCACGTCTCCTACCATGCACCGGCGCCTGATTCCAAGCCCACCTAACAGTGTGGCGTCGAGGCTATAGTAGGTACTGGATTCATGTGATGAGGGATGTTTGACTTGCTGGAAGGCCGTCAACGCTATCTCCCTGTGAGTAAAGTCACACACTGTTCGATAGACGTGCTTGAACTTGTTATTAAAGATAGCAGTCGAGGACTAGGATTGGTAAAATAGATTCCTCGGAAGCTTTGAATCCTAACCAGAAAATCCTTGACCTCAAATAACACCTGCGTTGGCAAGAACTGCCTGTAAGTGTTTGCCAAGGACAGTGAGGACCATCCACTACCAAGCCATCATGCATATAGAAGAGAGGTGACGATCCTGTACGGATTCATCTCTGTCAGGTCTTGAGAGACAGTGTTAATAGCCGAAGCTAAGTTGAGATAGGAAGGAGCATCCGTGTGGATTCCAAATCAAGGGCCGTCATCCCTTGAGTCTCGTGCCTTGTAAGAAGAAACACTGTCACACGCTTAATTTCCTCATCCACCTGGGCTGCCCTATTGATGAATTCAAGACAAGGGAGTGCGTAAACGCCACGCCCGGCATAGGTACCATATTAGTTGAAGTCTTCAAGGGCAAGATGTGTCCGTCTGCCGACGTAGAGGTCAGCGGAGACAGTGGCGCAACCAACAGCTGCCGAACTCTTGAAGATGTGGAGGCGCTGACGCAGTATGTTACTTCATATAGATACTCAATCTGGTATAGGCGCTGGAGTGGGGGAGTGTGATTTTATAGGCCACTATGTTATAGGCGCTAGATAGGCACTAGATCTGGATCTGGTAGAGCTGCCGCTGGATCCAGGAGCTTGGATCTGGAAAGCGCTGGAAGATCGCTGTATCTGGTAGAAACAAGTACGGACAGGCGCTTTGAGTGAGTGAGTGAGGATGGTTTGATAGGCACGCATTACAGGGCTGGATCTGGTAGAAACGCTGGACAGGCGCTGGGAGTGAGTGAGTGATGCAGTGGGAGTTGTAGTGACGCCAAGTGAGTGATACAAGTACTGGATCTGGTAGAAATGCCGGACAGCTCGCGGGAGTGAGTGAGTGGAGTTAGTGAGTACTGGATGGTAGTGAGTGAGTGAGTATGGAGTTGTACCATACAAGCCATACAAGCGCTGGATCTGGTTGAAAACGCCGGACAGGCGTAGAGTGAGCTGGAGTGAGCGAGGCGAGTATGGTGTTATAAAGTGCCATACAAGCGCTGAATCTGGTAGAAGCGCTGGAGGGTGTATGGACAGGCGTTGGAGGGGCGCTGGAGTATGGTTTATAGGCGGATCTGGTACAAACGCTGGACACTGGTAGAAAAGTGCCATACTGGCTGAATCTGGTAAACGAAAGTGCCAAGCTCCTGGTAGAAATACAGGCGCTGGATCAGGTAGATGCATCATACATTCTCTGTTCTCTGGAACAGGTTGGTGTTGCGACGGAGGCGCTAATACCGACTGCAGAATGCAAGGTCGTACTCGATGTGGTAGAAGCACCGTATAGGCGCTGCAGTGATGAACAGCAGAGGCGCTGTTGTACCAGACTGCCCTGCTAACTAGGTCAAGTCAAATGGGAGTCGAAACATCCAGTGACTGCTGAGCGCGCGGCACATGCATCTGAGGCGTCAGGAGTAAGACGTCTGCCAAGGACACGCTGGAAACTGCAACCTGGAGAAAGGAGACGGAGCGCCAGACGCCCTAGAGCTAGAGGACATCAGTGTTGTGGCAAGTATCTGGATGCTTGTCACAGGCGACGTCGGTGTTGGACCTGGCGCTTCAAAAAAAAGGTGTTATATTAAATTAGTAAGCGCAACAAGCACATTACTTGAGTGAAAAAATGGGGAAAACACGGAAAAGTGCAATTCAAACAGTATGAATGAAGGCACTTATGAGATACCCCGGCCTACAAACTATACAGCTTGTGCTGTATAGAAACTGCAACATAGCAGAAACCCCCAGCAAACACACGGTGAAAAACATTACAATAGTAATGGGGAACACACAGTGAAACAATATAACAGTAACGGGGTAGAACAGCATAAATGAGAACGTCTCACAAAATACTGACATAAACTGGAGACGAGAATTAAGGCTTAATAATAATATAAGATGATAGTATAACATATAAGCATGAGCCAAGAACAAGCCACTACAAATACATCGAAGCCACGTGTTCTGAATGGCGAAGTGACCGATAATAGTGATGAAACTACCGTGTTTATCACAAACACCATCACTACAACAGTACTACGAAAAACGAAACAGAAAGGTAATACCTACACTCTCTGAAGAACAAAGGAAAGTACCTGAAAGACAGTTTATTATCAATAAACACAAATTCATAGGATACAAAACAGTCGAGCTGGCAAACCACACGTCTTGCGAGGCGTACGAAAAGCAATAATCTGAGGTGGCTGACATCACCTTCCGGTGATGCGCGCAGACGGATGTTTACCCGAGACCAGGAAGTGATCGCAGTCTACAGTTTTCAACATCAATCGTCTGGCACAGCCACGTTTCGAGTCGTAAGCAATAAGTGCAGGAAGCAAGTAGTGCAGGATTAGTTAAAAATTATCTTACTGAAGAGTGACTACCTTTTGAAAAACAGCTCCTATTTTCTTCCCAAATATATTGGCTAGGGGAGTACTGCTTCGTCCAATAACATGAACAGACTGGGCTTTAGCAACCAAAAACCCAGCGACTTCCATACCTACAGTTAAAACACGTGCTTGGTGAAAAATAAAACATTCAACTGAAGGTCATATAAAACAGAGGTTTCAGGCAAGCGTAAGTAGCGACAACAACATTGCATCATCATGAGAGTAACAAGGACGAGCAGTTCAAGCAGAGACATATTAGTGGGGATTATTAGGGGTTAAAATGTTAAGAGAGGGGATGCTGTACTGAAGAAGCACAGTTCAAGAGCTATACAGAAACTGTCAAGGTGAGCCTTTTAATCTGGACTACAAGGAATATCCAAGTGCCTTTTCAAATAAAATACATTTACATAAGTCAGTGACAGGTTAAGACTCCATTGCCTCCTGAGAAGTTCTGACCTTGCATTGACAAGTGTTGATATATTTGACATTGAACAACACAGGTGTGATTCTATCCTACAAATCATTCATCAAAATATTCGTGTTTGCCAGCACAGTATTATCCAGTGTCTTGAGTGTAAAACGTTCAGCTATCAGCTTCATTGGTTTATGACGTCAAGGTCACGAACTGTCACAGTCAGGGAAACATTCTTGTGGTCAAGCTTTCTGGTGATCACTGGCAAGGTATCCAGCCTCCAAAAGGATTGGCTATGGTTCAAAGTGCAACTTGGTCATTTTATGAACATGATCCCAAAAAACTGGTTATGTCTCCTTCGTCACAGGTTACAGGCTTATGGTTTGTCACTCAAGTCGTCGTGATGTGGGACGACTGACTGACTGACTGACTCACTGAGTGTGGATTTACGCCGCTTTTAGCAATATTCCAGCAATATCATGGAGGGGGACACCAGAAATGGGCTTCACAAAGTGTATCCATGTGGGGAATTGAACACGGGACTTCGGCAAGACGAGCGAACGCTTTAACCACTAGGCTACTCCACCGCCCATCGATGTGGGATGAAAGTTTTAAACATTGGAAACTGGAAACCAACAATCAAGTGTATTGTGTTTTAAAACCTCCAAGACCACAGGTTCCTAGCATGCCTAAGGGACACAACTCTGCAAAGTTGACCTGTGTACATGTCCAATCTGGGATTCAAACCCATGATTATAGCTTCCTGGCATGCCTAAGGGACACAACTCTGCAAAGTTGACCTGTGTACATGTCCAATCTGGGATTCAAACCCATGATTATAGCTTCCTGGCATGCCTAAGGGGCACAACTCTGCAAAGATGACAATACCATCCATACAATCACAAAGCAGATACCATCACTAAATGTTAAATGCTGTTAAAAACATCAGGCATGTAACAACAGGCGAGAAACAATAACACAAAACAACAGACTTAAAAAACAAGCTGGCTTAAAAAAGGCACAATAGACGTCAATACATGGCAATACATGGCAATACAAGGCAATATAGAGCAATACAAGGCAATATAGAGCAATACAAGGCAATACAATACAAGGCATTCCAAAGCAACAGGCTTGAAGCAACAGAATACAAAACGCAGCAGACTGACAGCAAACTCAGGGACATTGACAAAGAAATAATCCCTGGAAGTGTTAATGGGAAGGGCAGGGTTAACAGGAATGGTATATCTAGCAGGACGTGTGCAAACCCTGACTCTACCTTCTGTAATACAGCCCCTACTCTGTCCCCTAACGTCAGCTGGAAGGGCACCTTAATCAGATCTACAACCGACACACTCTCCGCTTTCTCCGCTAGACAGGAAGCTACCTCCATCCCTGAAGAGTCAACAGTGAGTGAGTGAGTGAATTTATGAAATTCTTCCTCCCTCCATGTAAAACATATCAGTCAAAGTGCATTAGTATTGAGAGTTATTTTATACCAATCAGCAGTGATCTAGGGTGATCACTAGTGTTGGGAAATTTGATAAAATCTCATAATTGATGATTGGTTATTACAACCGATCAATCATCGAAAATAATTGGTCAGCGTCATTTATCAATTTTTTCTGGTTATGTTTGTTACTGCACAAAGAAAAAACATGTAGTTCTTATGAGTCTTTTTGCAAATTCCACAAAATGCATGTGCAAATTTAACATCTTTAAAGGATGACTAGTATGTTAGGAACATAAATTTCCTGGAGTCTTTAAGATAAATTCAATCCTGACTTGGAACGAGCTTGTAATGTTTATGAAATATAACAGACAAAACCAACCTTGTGAAAAATATTGTTAATGCAATAATGTTCCAGAAATGTTTGTGTTCGATTATGAGAAAACATGATCGATTGCTTGGTCGTTTAGTCATTGCGACCAATCTTCGATTATTTCAATTAATCGGACCACCACTAGTTATCACATCAGGGTAAATAGTTGTATCTGGGTCAGTGAAACAGAGACTGATAGCATGAGCATAACCACAGTCATCAGTGTACCAGGCAGATCATACCTTTCTTATTTTATATTATTTTATTTTTACAAGCATAGGTGCTGGGGTCTTTTTCTACTTCTGGAATGTCCACAATGGACAAAGTGCATGAAAAAGAATCTTGGGATATGAAACATATTGTAGTGATGATCAAGGACCTTTAACATCAACAGCAAAACTTGGCTAAGAACATTTGTAAAACAAAGGAAAATATATATTCTGAATAAAAACACAATATTCCATCCAACATCACCCTACTCTATATATGGCTTTCCAGTCAACAATACATTTTGTTATCCAACCTTCCACACACAACATCAAGTGGATTCTCCCTTCCACGCCTGCACCTGCACGCACCTGCACACACCTGCACACACGAAGCACATGCACTAGCATTCAGACAGACATACAACTGCAAACACCACCACCACACACTCAAACACACACATCCACATAACAGTTACACCATCTGACAATTATCATGAAAATATGAAAGCCTCTGAAATACAGGTAGACATTCAATCATTCGACTCCCTCCCCAACTCTCACCCTCCCCCCAACTCTCACCCTCCCCCAACTCTCACCCTAGGAATATCACTGTCACAGCAGACATCTTGCCATCTCCTCAACTTATGATGCTACCTGCAGATGACTATAGACAAAGCAATAGGATAGTATATGAGTTTACTTGTGTAAAGCTAACACTGTCACCCAGATAGACAGAAATGACAGAACTTAATGAAAATGTTCCAGAATGAATGGTTAGTAGATTCTGCGCTACAAGTATAACTGGTTCCAGGATTCAGGTCAGCTTCTGTAGGAAACTGTAATTAGTAAAGCCAGAAAATTGCAGAAAAAGTCACAAATGTTAGTTGAAATAACTCTCCTTGTTCTCAGGTAAATACAAATCTGCAAAAACATTCACATTACATACAATGAATTAGTGAGTTCTGTTTTACGCCGCTTTAAGCAATATTCCAGCACTATCATGCGGGGGACGCCAGAAATGGGCTTCACACATTGTGCCCATGTGGGGAATCGAACCCAGGTCTTCGGTGTGACGAGTAAACGCTTTAATCACTAGGCTACAGCACTGCCCCCATTACACATAAAATGTTTCAATTTTAATACAAGGCAGTGAAAGTGAGAGTGGTTAACTCCACTTTGTACGGTATTCCAGTTACATCACAGTGTGTCTGCTTGACATGGGAGGAACGCCCAAAGTGATCAAGCTCGCAAATGTTTTGAAACATACAAAAGCAGAATTTGAACCCACTGTCATGGTTTTTGTATGACTTGCAATAACTACTTGTAACATATCGTATGTCTTGCAATACAGGGCTTGTTATCGATGTATTGCATCATGAGCCTCATAGTACAGTACAGTGTTGCCATATTGTTATATGGCTAAAACCATGTAAACAACATCAACAGCTATAATGTATTTAAACGTTATTGAAATCTGAAATGCCTTGCTTAAGAGAGAATCAATAAAATATCAAGGCTTTAACTAATAAGTGAGTGAAAGTGTATGGTTTTACTCCACTTTTAGCAATATTCCAGCAACATCATGGTGGGGGACACCATAAATGGGCTTCACACATGGTACCCATGTGGGGAATCGAACCCAGGTCTTCGGCGTGACAATCGTAACCACTAGACTACCCCACCACCCATATAACTAATATAGTTGAAAAATGTTTGAGTACTAACCAATGAAGGACGACCCTATGATGACGACATTCTTGCCTTGTGCAGCACTGGCAATATAGTTCGCATCTTCTGGTGAGCGGAGCTGACACACGTTCTGAAGGTCTAGGCCAGGTATTGGCAATGTTCGGGGTCTGAATACGAAGTGTTTAATTATAAGAACATTATGGCAGATATTTACCCAAATGACAGAAGATAACCATTTCATCAAATCCGATGACATTTAGGTGTGGCTTCATCTTCATCCTTCATCCTTCATCCCATCTTGCAACATCTTCATCATGGTTGTTTTGTTGTTCATTAGCCACTTCATCACCACTGATCATTTAAACCTTTATTGAAACCTTCATTAAATTCTTGAGTAGGATATACACAGCAAAACATGTGTTATTAACAACAGGCAAAGCTAACAGCATCAATCACTGGATCGTCTGATCCAGGTGACTGTGAAATGTATAACATCACTGATTTAACAACAAACCAAAAATTTACTTTCAAAGTTTTGATGACACACAGAGTCCATCACTTTCGTACGTCTATACTCAACTCACTTTCCTCCCGTTGCGATAAGCAGTTTATCAAACTTGAGTGAACCACCATCACTGAACTTCACAGATTTGCCGCTGCCGTCTACACTGACAACCTGATAAAAAACAGTTTCAGAACAGCATGGTTTCAGCATGACAGAAATCAGGTTCAATCTTTACACTGGGGCCAGACAGGAGCGTGTTCAGTGTGGAGTAGGCACTCAATGGCCAGTGGATTCATGTCAGCTATTATAGCTCTACAAGGAGAACTGTGGTACCTTAGACTACTGACATGAGCCACCATTATTCCAACATATCTTAACAAATAGTATCCTCTAAGAAACAATGATTCTAAAAATCTCTTTTCCAAGAACATGTACAGAGACAAGATTGATGTTCTGAATATTTTCTAAGAAATATACAACTGTGGACATATGTTGTTAAAGGGTTCTTTTCAGTTTGTGATTTAAATAAAACACTTCCCTTGCGGTTTTATGAGATTCAAATCCATGGATAAGATCGTGTGGTGCTTTTAGATTACACATATAAAAGGGGGAGGACTAACTGATTGTTGGGGTGTGGTCATCTCCACTTTGAAGCTACATTCATCGCTTACCGCCTTCATCCCAACCTTCAGTCTCTGATGTACCTACCTCCTTCTCCGTTTGTATCTCTATGTCATGTGACTGGTAGAAGTCAGCATGTCGCAGCGCAATTTCCTCGGGTTTGATGCTCATCGCCTGCAAATATTAGTGAGTGAGTGAGTGAGTTGGGTATAAACCACACTTTGAACCACATGCCAGACATATCACTTCGTGTCAGCTTGATATGGGGTGAGTGAGTTTATTTTTACACTGAACTCAGCAATATTCCAGCTATATGGCGGCAGTCTGTAAATAATCAAGTCTGGACCAGACAATCCAGTGATCAACAGCATGAGCGTCGATATAAGCAATTGGGATACGATGATGTGTCAACCAAGTCAGCGAGCTCTTAAGCATGGGTTACTGCAGCAACGAAACAGTGATAACAGTGGGACAATTATATTCAGATCACACCACCACTAAAGATGCACACACGTACTGACAACTACATCACCAGCTATTGCACAGATTTAACTACTCCTGACTATGCCCTCATGGAAATATGACATTTTACTTGTCACAAAATGACAGACGTATCATATTTCACAAAACATACAACATATCCTGATATCCAGGTCACACCTGCCCCCAACATACATATGCGCTCTGACAACTGTATCACCATCTGTTACAGATTTAATCATTTCTAGTAATATCACATATAAATTCAGAATATTTATGAACAGCTCTGTGTGTTATTTTCAATCAAAAGCTTGAAAAACTATATAACGAACTCCAAGGGACCAAGAAATTTAGTTCGCTATATCCGTTGTTCGTTATTCACATTTGACCGCCATCTTGGATTGTAGAGATGTAGACATTCACAGACATTACCTATATCATGTTGATAAATATGAAGTTTATTTTAATAATAAAATTGAAATAATACAACTACAACTTAAATAAATTTATTTTATTTTTAATGAAAATGCAAGCTTACATTTATAGTGTCCAGATAAACCACGAAGAAGCAAAAACTGTAGCTTATTTTTTCCATTTGTGACATGTCCTAACATGCCCGCCTTTTCTTTTATATTTTCATTTTATGTAATCAGGCTTTCCGCTCGTTAACTATTTCTAATGAATAACAAGAATCGCTGGTATCGGTGGCAGTTTGTGTGTGGGCTTAAGGATCGTGATTGGTCAAAATCAGACAATGAACACTGCAATCAACATCAGTTGATTCGCCATCAACATTATGTAACACATGAGTTCCCTCTTGGGGGTAGTAAATCAGTCACTGTGCATTCGCGTAGTGGGAAGGGCGTGAATCATATCCATGTATATTTCTAACAAGAGCAGTGGCAGTTTGTGTGTGGGCTTCTTATCTGTTATCTCAACTAATTCAGCAATACTCCAGGTATATGGCTGCAGTCTGTAAACAGTGGAGTCTGGACCACAGTGACTGACAGCATCGATCTACGTATCTTGGATACGATGACATGCTTCACTTGGCCAGAGTAACCACCCAATCGATTGCCGCCTCTCACGACAATGGGGTGTATCTGAAGTCCAGTTCTACCATAAATCTTCACAGAGGTCTCATGGAGACAGTGAATGTAACATGTTATATTGGTGATAACACTTTCTCAGTAATGGAGATTGTAAAATTTTGGAGGGGAAGAATGCCATCCAGGATTTAAACCCACACTCTCAGAAGGCTCTAATCACCAGCACACAAGCCAATGACATAACCCACTCAGCAAGTGAATCTTAAATACAACATGTCACAGTTCACCACTTTCTAAAATGTATTGTACATTTAACGAGAGTAAATATTGATTAATGTACAGTGATTAAAAGGTGAGGTGAGGTCAAATTGGGTTTTACGTTGCGCTGGAGAATATTTTGCTCATATGACAACGTGTATGCGTGTGTATGTGTAGGTGCGGCTGCTTGTAATAGCCCAGACTTAAGCTGGTTTTATATATAGTGCTATCCCACTGAGATACCATGCCGCAGTGAAGCATGAATACCCCACTCAGACACATTATATTGACTCCAAGCGACCAGTCCTTCTAGTACCCATTAATGCGAAGGCCAGGCAGGGACCAACAAGTGCCATATTTTAACATCTTTTGGAATGACGCGGTCGGGGATCGAACCCGCGACCTTCCACTCCCCGGGTGGACGCTCTAACCACTACACCACGGAGGCGGTCAGTGATTAAAAGTATAATTCTGCATAGAATGTTGTATGAGGTCACATGACTACTAATTTGTCATATCATTATTGTCATCATATCATTATTGTCATCATATCATTATTGTCATATGTGCATCGGTCTGATTGCAGCGTCATAAATGCATCCTCAGATGTGCATCATCAAACATGTAGCTCACCTTGCTCAACTTTGGTCTGTCATACGGCAAATGTTTCTCTCTTGTTACTATGACAACCTTGCCAGTGAAACCTTCCTGTCGCAATGTCTCTGCACATTCGACTGTGGCCGGTCCTGTAAGAACGGAATGTCATACACTGAAGGAAGGGTGTTGTGAGATGTGGCTTCATGTCTCATTCAAGATTATAGCATCTACACTGTCATATGTGTTGACCACTCCTTTAATGCCATACACCAGGCAGAGCAACAACAATACCATCTGGAATTTATCTTGAACTGATCGGAGGAAAATCAAGCTGTCTGCGCTAAGACGATATTCGACCTCAGTAGCAACAGAAATACACGGTGATATGACGGTACGAATTAGCGACCAGTTATCTTGCGACCAGTTATATCATTATTTTAAAGGTCTCACAAGTATCAAAAGCCAACACCTGGTGCTTTGCACAGACAGCTTGACTTGTACTTCCGTAGTATTTCACCCATTGACACATCACACAAAGCAATGAATGCTACGAGAGTTAAAATCAAGCTAAAACATCATAGTGACATCTTGGATGATAGGCGCTTTCCCAGCCAGGTGTTGGCATTATAACTGGTACACAGCGATAACTGGTCGCTAGCCCATACATATTTAGAAGATAAAGCTACTCTGTTTTCAATTTTGCGGTCATTTATCGTTGATTTAAAACCGCAAAATGTTATTTAAAAACCGAGAGCGTTTATACTGTGAGCAAGTCCAATTATTTTATTTTTCTCAAGCGAATTATTAATCTCCCCTACTGTATGACAATCGATTTGCCCCAATTCAAGCTGTGAACTCTCGAAGTTTAGTCACTGCTAACTGTATTCATGGGAGTAATTGTTGATAACCCCGATACTCATAAAAGACCAGATATGCCATCTATTATGTGGGAAACATAGACAGTGGAAGGACTGGCATTACGAACTAGACGAAAGTGGACAGGTTAGGACATGTGGGCCAATACGTCTTGTCGACGTCATGACCGGCTAGACCTAGACCCGGTTTGAAGCATGGCAGAATACTGCCGCTTTTGCGCTGCTGACGAATTTTCCTGCTTCAAAATTTCTTCAATGGGATTAGGCTCAAGACATTCTACTTCAAACCATTCACTTTTTACTTCAAAAACATCAAAGATGTTGCCGAGGTAGAAATCACCAATGTCCGACATGTTTCTTTACAAACAAAGGGCCATTGAGTTCATTGCATTCATACGCAGTCAATCGGTCAGTTTAATTAGCGGTCCTTAAACTGCTATTTAAGTACAGTTTTGATGAGCTCTCAGCCAATGAGAATCGAGTATCACACAATGTCATGCTAGAATCCCAATTTGAATTCAAAATTTCCCAATGCATGTACCTGTTATCAGCAATATTCCAGCAATACAGCCGCAGGGGACACCAGAAATGGGCTTCACACAGTGCACCCATGTGGGGAATCGTACCTAAGTCTTGGCGTGAAGAGCAAATGTTGAAGTTATCTCCACAAGTTGATGCAAGGACTCACCTCCACCCACTAGGACAAATGTCTGGCTGTTGTCTCCGGAGCACTTCACCATGGACTTTACACGGAACCTCTTCTTCACAGTCTCCTCCTCCGCCTTCATGTACACCTTACTGTCTCGCACAGACACCTGCCATATTGTAACATGCGAAATGTTTAATACAGTAATAATGTCTCAAGAACAATTTTCCCTTTATTACCAGGCTCAAGGCAAAGGACTCTAACAAAATCAATATTTCAGCGTATCTATCCAAATATGTAATTTTTTAAGTAAAATTGATATTTTTATTCTTATCCTGACTCGTGATCTTCTGCATATCTCCCTTTCCTTTTCGAATGGTAGTGGAACACTTGAATCCCTTGAAGCTCCCGAAGCGGAAGTAAAAATACACTCACCCACGAGTTACCTCCCTTTTGCCCTTTTCCTGCGCAAACAGTCATGTGACCAGCATTACTTGTCACTCTCTCCTGAATTTCTGCCCATGCACTTGGATCTGCTGTGCCATCTGAAGTGTCTTCAGCGGGGAGGTTGGGAGGGCTTATATGTCATGAGTCAGGATAAGTATAAAAATATCAATTTTACTTTAAAAATTACATATTTTTACTTATCCTGACTCATGATCTTTTGCTTATAGAATCCGACGAATTGCTGCTGGGTCAAGCCACTTCATCAGCTGTCCCTAGATACGTCCTGTATCCCCCCCCCCACCCCCCCATGGGAACTGCGAAACGGCATTTCCGTGATCCTAGTCTTCTTCCAGCTTCGGGGGACCACTTTCTTGTCTTACTTCAATCTCAGACAAGTAGAGTCATGTTGATTCATGTGGCTATAGAAAAACTAGTATCTTCTTATTACTAGACATCTCATAACAACCCATAGATTATGATAAGATCTTTATCATAAATGAGCTGCGACCCCTTCACGTACAGGTAAGATCTTTACCCGTACAGGATCTTTAATCACTCATGCTAGCCTGTGATACAGTCCGTTTGGCTCAAAAGCGGACAAATGAATTGCAATGTAACTCGAAAACTAATAAACATAACATACTCAATGAAACGCTGATCATAATCAAAACATCATACCCACTCTGTGAGGTTTTTGCAGAATTTTTGTCCTAAAAATAATAAAGTTGTTTAACAAACTATCATTAAAATATTGACACAGTTCACCTGTTTGTTACGAGGGAGGAGTGCAGAAAAAGGGACAGCCAGGTGTTCAAGAAGCACGTTCACAGACAAAGTTATTTATTCATTAACCTGTGCTGTGCCGTCTCTATCCATTCTCGAACACCTGGCTGTCCCTTTCTCTGCACTCCTCACTCTGACTTCATAAGGTTCACCAGCCATCCTAGTTGAGTGAGCAGCTTGATTGTGAAGTTCAGCTGTAGTCTGAGTATACTGGCATCTTTTTTAACCTGAATTCCGTCGTCCAAGTAGAAGGCATTGCGTAGACCTCGATGATGTAGATATGCGACTATAGGCTTGGTTACTCGTGTGAATAGCCACGGAGCCAAAGATATTCCAAATGGTAGGACGTTCCATTGGAAGTGCTGCCCTCTGAATAGGAATTGTAGATACTTTCTTGATTCCCGATGTATGGGGATGTGTAGGTACGCATCCTGCAGGTCTATGCTGGCCATGTAATCTGCTGGACGGACGAGTAGTCTGAGTTGAGGGAGGTGGATCATTCTGAACCTGTCTGGTTTCAGTAGATAGTCTTTGTTGAATTTGTGCATGTTGTAAATCAATCTGAACTTCTCCTTGGAGTTCTTCTTGGGTACTAGAAAAATTGGGGAGTAGAAGCCTGGCTTGAAATGATGCCGATTATCTCTACCGCCTCCTTCATAAGTAGTGAGTTGATGGCTTCTTGTACTTTGTCTGCCTGCTCCTCTGCATAGTCGAAGACCATCGGGCTGAGGGTTAGCGGAGGTGTGGCCTTGAGTTGTACTCTGTATCCTTCTCGTAGTACTTGGGAGACATAGTCGTCCTCTAGTATTCCCCAATTTTTCCAGTACCTTTGTAGACGTCCACCCACTGTCGATGGTTTTACAGGAACGGCTGGGGGTGGAAAACTCCGGTCGTTCCGAACCCTGATATCAACGTCTAGTTCCTCTGGATCCTCTGGGAGTGCGGCCCATCCCTGAGTTTCCTCTGTAATTTCCGTATGGGCGACGAAAAGATCCTTTGCTGCCTCTGAAGTTGGAGTATTTCTTCTCCTTTGCCTTCTGTATGCTGGAATATTTGGACTTCCTGTTATACTTTTGCGAAGTATGACAGATGACGTTGGCCAGAGTATCTATGGATTTTATCATCATAACCTCTCTAGAATCGTGCGTAGCTTCCTTAGCTGCATCGTCTATTTGTCCTCCAAAGATAGCAGGCGCCTCCCAAGGAGCTCTCAGCAGCGGTTGGGTGAATCTGTCACTCCATGAACAGGATGTAAGTAGACCTTGTCTGCGTAGTAAAGTGAGACCTGTAGATATTGATGCAAGATGGTCCGACAAAAAATATTGGTCCTTCTTCTGAGTTATGAGCGCCGAATATATCATTCTATCTTCTTCCGAACTTGGGTTCTGGAATTTATTGATCAATGCTTCATTGATAGCTCTGGACCTGGCCAACCCGAAGAAGGATCTCCTTGTAGCAGTATCAAGTTGAGATAACTTTTTATCTTCTACTTTATACATCTTGTTCCGGGAGTCGTTGACTAACTTGATGTTATCATCCAAATCAGGCGCCTTTGTAAATGGATCCATATGATTAAAGGGGAATCTCTTCACATTAAATGATGGCAGATGCTGACTCTGGTACTTGAATGCTTTCGCGAAAGCTGTGCGTAGGTTGGAGGGTACCTTGGATGTAAGTTCAATCGAAGGGATAGTGACGGAGTCAAAGTCGTCGTTACGCATCATATAAGTGTAGACTTCATCTTTATCCTTAGAAGGAGACTCCAAGTTCAACCCGTTGGCAATCCAAGCTGTAACCTCTGCGTCTGGGAAGACGAAGTCTGCTTGCTCATCCAGTATCGCCTCATTATTAGAGCTAGGCCTCCGTGTATCATCCATCTGCGAACCTGTATCCCTTCTCGAACCTTCATCATCCTTTTGCGAACCTCTGTCCCTACGCGAACGTCTGTCTTGAGAGTCCTCTCTTCGCGAACCTCTATCTGTAGATTCATCTCTTCGCGAACCTCTGTGATGTGAGCCTTCTCTTCGCGAACGTCTGTCGCTAGATGTATCCCTTTGCGAACTTCTGTGATGTGAGCCTTCTCTTCACGAGCCTCTGTCTCGTGATGAGTGGCTTCGCAAACGTCTGTGAGAGATATGAGATCTCGATCTAGAGTGGCTAGGTGTAGGAGCTGGATCCTTCGATGTTCTCGAATGTTGAGGGTTCGCAGATGTAGAACGATGAATAGGTATCTCATGTCTTCTATCCTCCTCCAAGATGACAGAGTCGTCCGACTGTGGAGACCTTCGCCAACGTCGTCTTGAGACGTAGTTCTCTGAGGAGTGGGTTCGCGCAGGTCCGTAGGTTTGCGCGCACAGTGTCGGTAGATGAGAGGCTTCGCCAAGCCTTCGCTTCTTCCTCGAACCTGCGTTCCATCATGGTCATCATCTGGTTGGTGAATTGTCTCATAAATTCACCAGGGGTCAAAGTTCTGCGTTGGATGAAGCTGCTGCGGTGTAGAAGAAGCATTCACGAACGCTGATGAGTTCTGTGCCTCGACTTCACTCCGTTGAGAAGTAAGTGGTAGTTCGTCAAACAGCTGTTCAGCTTTGACCGTTGCAGGAGGCGATCTAGTAGTCGTAGAAGTCAATTGAGTCGCTGATCTCGTAGGTACTTCGGGTAGAAGTAATGGGGGATCATCAAAAACGTCTACTTCATGTGGAGGGAAAAATCTCTTCGTTGAAGGATTTCTGATGCATTGACTTACTGGCCCGCGTAGATTTACCCTTCGATCTGGTAACAGATGCTTTCTTCTGCGATGTAGAAGAGGATGACGTCTTTTTCTTAGCTTGAGTCGGAATCAACTGCATTGTAGCCGATCTCTTCTTAGCCCCCGTACCAGCAGACTGCCCCTGCAACGTACTCAACATAGCACCAGTATTATGAATTTCAGCAGTAGCAAGCAACATACGGTTTGCAGGCTGATCTCCTGTTTTATCTGCCATGACTTGAGATGACTTCCTCACCCGATCCATGGCACGTCTATAGATATAAGACAAATATTGATTAAATTGTAGATTTGATAAATCAACACAATAAGTACAGTGCAAGCTGGAAGAACATGGTTTTATGCACGAAGCGCATTGGGGGTGAGGATCAGCCACGGATAACCTGTGCCTGCAAACACTCCAAGATTTCATGAAATGTAAACAAAGTTACATAACGATGAAATTATGACACAAATACAAATAATTTGTACACATTTTTTTACATATAATAGAAAGTAGTTATTGCCAGATCCATACACAGCATAATTTTGAGTAGGACCTAAATAAAAAGATATAATGCCATATGGGACCCCAGTGCTCGCCCAAGCATCCACATGGGCAAAAAGGGAGAGAGTGACAAGTAAGGCTGGTCACATGACTGTTTGCGCGGGAAAGGGCAAAAGGGAGGTGAGTGTATTTTTACGTCCGCTTCGGGAACTTCAAGGGATTCAAGTGTTCCACTACCATTCGCAAGGAAAAGGGAGATAAGCAAAAGATCATGAGTCAGGATAAGAAAAAATCATAAAAATACTGATGCTGTGCTATAACTAACCCCCATTTCAGCTGCCGACACAGGCTGGGGTCTGTGAACTTGTTCTCACCTTGATCAACCCCATGCACTAACATACAGGTTTAACATTTACCTCAAATGTTGGCAGTGAGTTGAGACCCGGGAAGTCTTCGATGTCTCCTGTTTTGATGTTGAAGCAGGCTCCATGCCATGGACAACGCACCTGGCCATTACACAGCACACCTGACAAACAGACCACCAGACATAAACAGCAACCAGATCTGATCCAGTGTCTAGTGATTCGTAAATCTTTCAACTGACTGTGTGTTTTCAGATTTGTACATAGGTTTACCGACAAAGGAGTAAAAATGGTTTACATAGTTTTCTCCAGGTCTCTTTTTCTAGGTGGACCCCTGGAAGTCACTGAGGCTGACATGACGTCACTCTGCTACTTCACAATGCAGCACCATGATATCACTATGCTACTTCACAATGCAGCACCATGACGTCACTCTGCTACATCACAATGCAGCCATGGCATCACTCTGCTACTTCACAATGCAGCGCCATGACGTCACTCTGCTACTTCACAATGCAGCACCATGACGTCATTCTGCTACATCACAATGCAGCACCATGACTTCACTCTGCTACATTACAATCCAGCGCCATGACGTCACTCTGCTACATCACAATACAGCGCCATGACGACACTCTGCTACAACACAATGCAGCACCATGACGTCACTCTGCTACATCACAATGCAGTGCCATGACGTCACTCTGCTACATCACAATGCAGCGCCATGACGTCACTATGCTACTTCACAATGCAGCACCATGACGTCACTATGCTACATCACAATGCAGCGCCATGACGTCACACTGCTACATCACAATGCAGCGCCATGACGTCACTCTGCTACATCACAATGCAGCGTCATGACGTCACTCTGCTACATCACAATGCAGCGCCATGACGTCACTCTGCTACATCACAATGCAGCGCCATGACGTCACTATGCTACATCACAATGCAGCGCCATGACGTCACACTGCTACATCACAATGCAGCGCCATGACGTCACTCTGCTACATCACAATGCAGCGCCATGACGTCACTCTGCTACATCACAATGCAGTGCCATGGCGTCACTCTGCTACATCACAATACAGCACCATGACATCACTCCGCTACATCACAATGCAGCGCCATGACGTCACTCTGCTACATCACAATGCAGCGCCATGACATCACTATGCTACATCACAATGCATCACCATGACATCACTCCGCTACATCACAATGCAGCGCCATGACGTCACTCTGCTACATCACAATACAGCACCATGACATCACTCCGCTACATCACAATGCAGCGCCATGACGTCACTCTGCTACATCACAATGCAGCGCCATGACATCACTATGCTACATCACAATGCATCACCTCATGACATCTCACTCTGCTACATCACAATGCAGTGCCAAGACGTCACTCTGCTACATCACAATGCTGCACCATGACGTCACTCTGCTACAACACAATGCAGCACCATGACGTCACTCTGCTACTTCACAATGCAGTGCCATGACGTCACTATGCTACATCACAATGCAGAGCCATGACGTCACTCTGCTACATCACAATGCAGCACCATGACGTCACTCTGCTACATCACAATGCAGCGCCATGACATCACTATCCTACATCACAATACAGTGCAATGACGTCACACTGCTACATCACAATGCAGCACCATGACGTCACTCTGCTACATCACAATGCAGCACCATGACGTCACTCTGCTACTTCACAATGCAGCGCCATGACGACACTCTAGTACATCACAATGCAGCCCCATGACATCGCTCTGCTACATCACAATGCAGCGCCATGACGTCACTCTGCTACATCACAATGCAGCGCCATGGCGTCACTCTGCTACATCGCCATGACGTCAGTCTGCTACATCACAATGAAGCACCATGATGTCACTCTGCTACACCACAAAGCAGCGCCATGACATCAGTCTGCTACATCACAATGCAGCGCCATGAGGTCGCTCTGCTACTTCACAATACAGCACCATGACGTCACTATGCTACATCACAAGGCAACGCTATGACGTCACTCTGTTACTTCACAAGGCAGCACCATGACATCGCTCTGCTACATCACAATGCAGCGCTATGAAGTCACTATGCTACATCACAATACACTGCCATGACGTCCCTATGCTAGACAACAATGCAGCGCCATGACGTCACTATGCTACATCACAATGCAGAGCCATGACGTCACTCTGCTACATCACAATGCAGCGCCATGACATCACTATGCTACATCACAATGCAGCGCCATGACGTCACTCTGCTACATCACAATGCAGCGCCATGACATCACTATGCTACATCACAATGCAGAGCCATGACGTCACTCTGCTACATCACAATGCAGCGCCATGACATCACTATGCTACATCACAATGCAGAGCCATGACGTCACTCTGCTACATCACAATGCAGCGCCATGACATCACTATGCTACATCACAATGCAGAGCCATGACGTCACTCTGCTACATCACAATGCAGCGCCATGACATCACTATGCTACATCACAATGCAGAGCCATGACGTCACTCTGCTACATCACAATGCAGCGCCATGACATCACTATGCTACATCACAATGCAGCGCCATGACGTCACTCTACTACATCACCCTGTGGGGTAGTTTGTAACATTCTTTAAGGTCACATGCAACCAAAATATATAACATAATTAAAACACAATTATCACTTATTCATGACATATAATATATATTGCTGGTTATGAAAAAACATATAAACAAAATTATAAGCGTACAATCGCAAATCAAAGGTGCAATATTTTATACTTGGGTTTACTTCCCTCGAAACGAAGCACCCGGGATACCGAACCCAGTCAGAGCGGGTGGGTGTGCACTCAAGTGTAACGGCTGGTTCATTAGCAGATTCCCGCACGGCTCATTGTGTGTGTATATATAGAGATGTTGGGTTTTGTAAATACATGCTCATTTTTTGTGTATAACATTTTGCAATCAACAGACATCATAACATGTCATGTGAACAAGTATCACACCTGCTTGTCTGTGTAATTACATAATGTGACAGAGACCGAACTCGGGCCATAAATCAATGCGTTTTTGTTTATGGTGTATAGCCTGATAGGTGTTAAGTTCAAATTGCATGTGGTCAGTGATCGAAGTTGTGTATTGAATATTGTCATTAGCAGACAGGCAGGCAGACACATAGGTGTCAATAAAACAGACATTGAGTTTTGTCTGTGACAACGACATATCTATATCACAGTTAGAAATTCTGTCAACGCTAAATAATGAACATTGCTTTTAAGTATCGAACTGAGAAAGTGACTCAGTAAGAAGAAGGTGTGGTGAAATAGACAAATGAAATTATATAAACAGTTAATCTACTGTCATAACATATAAAAAGCTTGCGCCTGTGAAATATCAACAAAACATTAGAAAAATAGCTCACACCAAAGCCTTCACCGAGTATTCACCGGACAACCCGCTTCCAACCTATTTCACTGCGCATGTGCTATGAGCGCAGCCCAGCTGTTGAAACCACTTCAATTCCCCCAAGCTCTGGGGGAAAATTAGTGAATCGTTTGAACTATGATTTCGCGTTGGTTTTTTCATCGCGTTATTGTTCAACTTTTTAAGTTGAATTTGCATTTTTGAGTTTGCTTAAAGGTCACATGCAACATAAAACACAACTTTGCAGATTCTGATACCTTTCGGTATGGACTTACCGAAACAAATCATCTGTTTTCATTCATATGTAAAGTATCACCATGGGCTGATATGAATCATATACAATAGTTCATAAATATTTTGTAACTCACCATTGGCAAGAGATGCTCCATAGTGGGTACATTTTGGGCCCACAGCATAATACTGGCCCTTTTCTCTCGTCAGCAGCACTTTCCCCCCTGGAACGTCCACCTCCTTCATCCTGTAACATGAGAGAGAATGATTGTCTTGTGTTCTCAAAGAAAGTAGTAGTGTAGAAGGGAGGTAACTGGTATTTAAAACATGTTAGTTTCATACACACTTGGATATTTGATCTCTGAAATAAGAAAGATTTTGTTGTTTATAGTTTTAGTGAGGTGAGGTGAAATTATGTTTAACGTCGTGCTTGAGAATATTTCGCTCATATGACGACGTGCATGTGTGTGTATGTGTACGTGCGGCTGCTTGTACTAGCCCAGACTTAAGCTGGTTTTATAGTGCTAGCCCACTGAGATACCATGCCTCAGTGAAGCAGGAATACCCCACTCAGACACATTATACTGACTCCAGCCGACCAGTCCCATTAATGCCGAGCGCCAGACAGAGACCAACAAGTACCATAATTTAACATCTTTTAGTATGACGCGGTCGGGGATAGAAACCACCGCCTTCCGCTCTCCGGGCGGACGCTCTCACCACTACACCAGGAAGGCAGTCAATTATGGTTTTAACACATGCAGACGTCTCTGTGAATTTTCTTAGAACGTCTGGCATTTATTATGGTGATTCTGCTGTATATATTTCTGCAAGCAATTGCAATTGGTCCCTTACTCTCCATCTTTCAGATCCTCCTGATTACAGACAAACACATCATTGGCTGCCATCTTGGTTTGTGAGCTTGGTTGCTGTGGTGATGACCTTGACCCTTTCTCTTCTGTAACAAGGTAAGTCCCTCTTGTTGGGGTCTGACTAGATGGTGTAGTGGTCGGTGTTACCGTTGATGCTGCCAGGGAAAATGCAAAAGTATTATTAAAAAATGACCATCAGTACTGTTGGAGTCTTGTGTGATTTCACCATGTCATAAAAAGAAAAATTGAATTGCAGTCATGTCCTGTCTTAACTAAACTACTTAAAGTCTCAAGTATTTTACTGCAAGAGTTCAGAGTATATCATCCATGTGAACATTCAGTTTGAACCAGCATTAGTCATCATAGGATAACATAATTACAAGCTTTGTGCAACATTTTGTTGCTTCAGTACTTCTGAAAAAGAAAGAAGGGATAGAAATACTTTTTTTTCTAAGTGTGCCTTTGGGCACCAGGCAAATATTTTAACTGTGCCTTTCAGAAATCAAGTGTGCCCACATGTTTTTAGAATGAATGACTGTAGCAATAATGATGATCATTTGAAAATTATTGTTAGTAAACAACAAATGTAACCTGTTTTCTTTTATCACTGATATGTCTTCTGTTTAAGATGGTTTTCTTAAGCATCATTTGTTCTGCTTTCCCAGCACCTTTGATAGCTAAGAATTGTGTGACAGGTTATCTTGTGCAATATATCTAACATACACAATTTCCTCTATAATACCTGAACTATCAGTACTCCCATCACTCTAAATGGAAAAACAACCAGATTTCTTTACATCATCCATCATAATTCCAGTAATTTCCTGGGCAATAAAGTCAATAAATGTTTTTGCTTGTTTGTCATTTGCGTAAGTGTTTTGTTTTGGGGATTAAATGACTAAAGGTGAGTTATGTCTCTTAGAAATTAGGCATGCCATAAGGGCACCGAGAATATTTTTTATCCGTGCCATTTCAACATTTACCGTGCCATGGCACCCTAATATATGGGGTATTTCGAACCCTGGAAAGCCACACAGTTGACTCTCAAGGTCTCAAATTATAGGATCAACAGGGTTTTATCTCAAAACATTCAAAATGTTGGTAACAATTGCCATATTAGAATACAATAATTCATGTTCTGGTTACAACGGACATACCTGGGAAGAGGAAAAAACTTCCATGAATAGTTTTATAATTTTGCTTCTGGATTTAAAAATGTAGGATGCTTCAGTGAGTGTAATATATTGAGTATATGTTTTTAAATCGCTCTTACCAATATTCCTACAACATCATGGAGGGGAACACCAGAAATGGGCTTCAAACTTTGTGCCCATGAGGGATTGAATCGAACCCAGATTTCCGATGTGATGAGCGAACGCTTCAACCACAAGGCTACCCAACTGCCCCTGTAGGATGCTTTAAGAATTTTAAAAAAAATAAATTCAACACATGTTCAAATTTTTAACAAAAACATTCCCCTAATAAACCCTTCATCTTGTCAAAAGAGTATCCAGCCCAGATTGCCACTTATTGGACTAGTCCATCTACAGCTTTCACCTTTACATCAACCACAGAAACATCTTGTGCATAAATCTCTTTTTCTGCTGAACAATCAATTTGCTGATATAAAATACCCAGAGACATGGACACATTTATTACAGCTTGTAAACATAAACATTGACTCTATAAGCAAGGCAAGTTGTATAAAGATTCATAAGAAAGTAGACCGATAGCTTAACTTAAGACACTACATCAGGCAATAGTCCAGTCCATACACGGTTTACTTTTATGAACAAGTTACTGATCATTTTTTCTCAAAAAACCTGAACCTGTGATTTGAAATAGAAATAAAATTATATGAGACTCTCTGATTACTTTTGTATTGTATGAAGATGTAGAAGCAACTTACTCACCATTTAAAGGTTCCCTAATTTCAGGCTGGTATTTTGTGGAAAGTGGCAGGAATGTTAGCAAGTTTATAGTATTTACATAGAAACCAGGACACGACCTCGAGTACCAGTGAAGGTATAAATAGTCCTTGAACAAATACTGACAGGTCATTGAGCAAGCACCCTTATCTCAGTCAGACATATATACAATTACAAGTCACTGACCAGCTACCTGTTGACAAAGACTGATAGGGAAACAATATAGTATTGTTGAGGTTATTATCAGTTTGGCTATAAATTCCTTATTGACTTCTTCACATTGTCTTTTGACCTTGACAAACAAAGTGTCCAGACACATCAGAAAGTATTGGAAAACATCAAGGAAATTAACCAGGTCATCAAAAGGTTTTAAACGCCACACACAGCAATATTCCAGTATTTTGCAGCAGTCTTTAAATAATCGAGTCTGGACCAGACAATCAACAACAGGAGCATCGTTCTACACAATTGAGATACGATGACATGTGTCAACCAAGCCAGCGAGCCTGCCCACCCGATCTCATTAGTCGTCTCTTACGACAAGCATGTGTTGCTGAAGATCTATTCTAACCCGGATCTTCACAGGTATAGACACTATTAGATTACTTTAGATTTTTCACACATATTTGTACAGAAGCAATTCAAAATAACTATGTCAAGGTGATGTATTTTACATATTCTACACAGATTAGTTGGTATTCTTGTTCAGTGAAACAGAATTATTCATCATAGTTATCAGCCTGAGACTATCAGGTTATCATACATATATGTTGTCATAGTAATGACATACTATGGGTTAGGGGTTATGACACAGTATATCGTGTGTACTATATAGTACATACAGTGAGAGAGCATATACCGTGTGTACTATACACAATGATAGAGCACATACTGTATTCAATGACAAAGCATATATGTGTACTATATTCGATGACACAGCAAATATTTCATGAACACGGTACACGCCCCTCACCTTTCATTGAAGAAGCTTTACATATACCTCTGTTCTGAGGCTTTCATCAATGGCATGTGTTAGTTCCCGGATCCGTGATAACAGGTCAAGCATGTGGTCTCGGCCCAGGATGTGTAGTGAATATAGCCATGTCACCTAGCTGACTTATCTTTGAGTGAAGTAACACAGGGATAACACTGTGTGAATGAGTGAGTCTGGTTCTAGGCTGCTTTCATCAATATTCTAGCTACATCACACAAGCCAACACAGGAAATTCCTGATCCTAAAGCATTTCTGGGTTCTTTGCTGGCTGTAGCTGAGTGCTTTTACCTCGAGAGTATTTTATACAAAACCAGCTGACAATACACGACATTCACATCGATCAGCCATAGTTACTGTGGTTCATGTAATTATATATGAATGAGTGAGTGAGTTTAGTTTTACGCCGCATTCAGAAATATATTCCACCTATATGGCAGCGGTCTGTAAATAATCGAAACTGGACCAGACAATCCAGTGATCAACAGCATGAGCATCGATCTACGCAATTGGGAACCGATGACATGTGTCAACCAAGTCAGCGAGCCTGACCACCTGATTCCGTTAGTTGCCTCTTACGACAAGCATGGGTTACTGAAGATAAAATTCTAACCCGGATCTTCTCGCACCCATTTTGTTCTGGGATTAGTGGGAAGGTAAGGGGGTCAGCAACCATGTACATAACAGTATTTAAAGAAATACTTTAAAACTAGGGGGCGGGGGGCATAATTGTAGTTGTACATAACATGCGCCGGGGGACGTACTTTGAACATAACATTGAGGGGGGTTCATGCTTCACCATACAAATCATCATCATCATCATCATCATCACACACACTCTCCACCCCCGACCTTACGAGGATCGAGCTGTAATCAATCTAATTCATCCTCTTTTTCATTCTATGCTTCCAAACTACACTGTACACTGTACGTGCCACAGGATTCAGCTGATGAAATGGAGGAGTGTATCTGAATTATATTCATCAAATATGACGACAGTCGGAAGGAAGCCTGGAAGGGTTGCATATGTGAAACGTTTGGGGTCCAGAGAGAGACAACGCTTCATAGCAGTAATTATTGCATCAGAGGTTTGAAAACATGCGGATTGCAACAAGAGAAACCTTACCTCTCGCTGCCCCTGGTCAGAAATCCGGAAATATCTCGTGTTAAGTGGTGGATGCATATGTCTATCTCAAGTTCTTATCATGCTTGTCATGCCGGTCAGCTAAGTCATGTGACCTGTCATGTCACGTGATCCCAACGTGACCTGGGTGAATGGATTCTGACATCCTGGTGCCTCTTATTAGTTTACATATATATAGTTTATATATAAACTACAGCCTGGATGGGGTTCTGCGTAGTTACACCGCATTGGACAATATTTCAACTATATCACTGCGTGTCAGTTTCATGTGGGAGAAAAGACCGACTTACCACAAACGCTGATGAAACTCATGAGCACGGTTTTTATGGCAGAGAAATACCCCGGGCGATTCTTGAATTCGAACCTACGATCAAAGGTTTTTTAGCATGTCCGATGGCCAGAAAATTTTGAAATTCTGTTAATCCCTAAAAAGGTGTTGTCTAGCGGTTTGTTAATTTCTTTATTTGTTTGTTGTTTAAACACAATGCACAAGGCTAAGCACTAGTCTATTAATGCCTGTGGCCTGGACTAGACAATCCGATGATTGACATCATGAACATGGGTCTACGCAGTTGGGATACTGTGACAAGCATCAGCTTGGCAGGTCACCGATCCTGTTAGTCGCCTTTCTACCACAAGCACGCGTACGGGTTGCTGAAAAATTACCTGTAACTCAGGTCGTGAATACGTGGCACCAAGCTGTAGTATATGGTAATAATTATCTATAATCTTGCTGTATGGTGGCGTGTATATAAATATACATGTTGTATACCGTTGTGACGAACTCTGATAACTCGATGTCTCGGTTGTCTCGATATAACATCTCGGTCCCGGCAGAATCCTTCATAATTTATCATTATTCAAGCTCTTTTAACCCGATACGGATGGCTCGATATTTCGGATATCTCGATATAATTTCATGGTCCGAACGAGCAAAATTACCCTTTTAATTCGATATTTACAAAGCAACTCGATATTCACCTACTTTTCACGGGCAAGTATCCCTCTGAATTGAGGTTGTTTCCACATGTTTACACACGGTGCGGCATGACTCAAAGGGATGCGGTAGTGTAAACTAATTAGGGTTAATTGAGTTGAAGGTGTCACTTGTTTGTTATTTAATTAAGATTAATTAAGAAGGAATTATAGTTAGGATGTACTCACTGTTACGACTAAACACTACTGATAACGGATTATAGTTTCGATCAAAACATACTGAGAATCCAATGAGGGTTTTGTGTAATCGCAGTTGAGAACGGCAGATGCGTATTATTTGTGGAATCGAGAGATGGAGGGCGAGATGAGGTGTCATTCAAGATGGACACTGTAACATAAGCTGTATCGCGTGTGACTGCGACCACTGTGAGTAAAAATGTATATACAAATATATATACATGAAATCTAATTTTTGTTTTGTTTTCTTTCATATAGTGATATGTGATGATATGCCCTGGTCGGATGTGTCGAAGTTCGGATAACTCGGTATTTTTTCTTGGTCCCTTGAATATCGAGACAACGGTGCTCGACTGTACTATTACAGTATACACACACTCTACATTAACACCATTCGTATGTTAGTTACATTTAATGTATTCGCAACTTAAAATGCCCGATCAGGTAGCCAGTAGCCAGTAGTCCCCGAACCACATTATTTTCCCTACCGCCAAGCCCTCTCTGCAGTGCTAAAGCCCTAAATAAAGCAAGTCTAGATTTCCTCAGCTTCTGAATCTCTGGTCTCCCTGGGGCTCCTTTTTAATTTAAATGGGCTTGTTTGTTACTATCAAAATTATATATATTCAGAGACTAAGCTTTAGTCTAAGGTAGCCAGGAACTGCACTGTGAACGAGGCAGCCTTACAAAACAGACAAATACTGATTCTGAGAAGGGTATATATATCCTATATCCTTCAGATAATGCGAGAGAAACATATGTTACGCCACAGTCAGCGCCATCGACGGAGAGTCGTTTATGGACAGGCGACGTGGGGTATAGGACACTTTTGGCACCGGTGATGCCCTGTGAGGCACAGGCCCTCGCGTCTTTGCGGAGATTAAAGATTAAAAATAATAATTTTTTAGACGACCCCCGACTCGAAATGCCACACAGTACAATACATGTCATAATGTATTATACTGTGAAGCATTCTGAGTCGGGAGTCATCTCAAGTCTTATATATTTTCTTAAAATCTTTAATCCTCGCAAAGACACGAGGGCCTGTTTTTAAGGCACATGTGAGTAGAATGGTAAGCAGGTGGCCACAACGGGGACAAGAGACTACATCGGGGATCGGGTGGCCAAAGTGGAGACAGACGCGCGCGTTAACCTGTGCGTTTCAAATCGTTGGAAATCACCTGGTACCTGCGTTAACGTCGTATCACACCTGCTGCAACAAATTACAGTCATACAAGGGGCGGTGGGGTAGCCTAGTGGATCAAGCGTTCACTCGTCACGCCGAAGAGCTGAGTTCGATTCCCCACATGGGCACAATGTGTGAAGCCCATGTCTGGTGTCCCACGCCGTGATATCGCTGGAATATTGCTAAAAGCGGCGTAAAATTAATCTCACACATTTACAGTCATACAACGCGGTCCTTACTTCAAAATCAGCACCCGTACAGTTCACGGGGAATTTATACACGCAGGTGGACTCTTAAGACTTTGGTACACATGTATTTTACAGGGTCAATTTCATTGTTTGGCGTGAAGAGACGCTATTAGCACCCTAATCGTCCGTGTGTTTTTTGTGAGCACAAACCCGTCACGTATATATGATTTACCTGCAGGGTTGACGTCGAACTTTGAGTGTTTCTTCCCCATGATTCGGTCTATAGCTGTCGGACGGGCAAGATGGCGGATGAAGATGGCGGATGGCGGACCTGCAAGATGGCGGGGATTCGTCACAGAGGCTCAATCACACACCATTCACAAACTTAATCTGAAAAGAAAAAGGAAAACAATGTATATGTAAGTTCTTTATGTTTAACATTGTCCAGACACTGCCAATATTTGGTCTATTCAGTTAAAGATATTCTATTATACCACCAGCTCGTAATTTGAGTCTTGCCCAGTCAAACCGGTGATTGATAGTATAGCAGTGTTCCTCGATGTCAGACTACGGTGCCGCATTATCAGAGATGCCATAGAGCCTGCCTACACAAGATGTCATCAAGATCCTGGTCTCCACCGACCGTAAGAGACGACTAACGGGATCGGGTGGTCAGGCTCGCAGACTTGGTTGACATATGTCATCGTATCCCAACATGTAGATCGATGCTCATGATGTTGATCACTGGAATGTCTGGTCCAGACTCGATTATTGAAACACCGCAGCCATATAGGTGGAATATTGCTAAATGCGGCGTTACACAACAAACAAACGTTAGAGGCGACTAATGGAATCGTTCGGTCAGTTTCTCTCCCTGGGGAGCATACAAGCCAAGCTGCCTTAGATATGCTAGAAGGTTAAGTCACATTTGCACCCTTGTCCTACCTGGTACTCACTCACTGCTGGCTGAATAGCCTCCTTCCAAAAAACGTCTGGGGTCTGAGAGACACAACATGTTAAGTGTTTTCATTGACAGAAGACCTGAAGCCCTAAAACCTGTTCACTCATCCCCTTAATTGATTTGTGACCACGTGACGCATATCACCCCGTGAAGGCGTGGTTTGACAGGTGTAAAGCAAGTCGTGACATACAGCTGACCCGTTCACCTAATGTTAACTCGCCAAGAATATATATAGGCCTCGGTATGTCAGGACTAGACCCGTGGTCATGGGCCTGGTAAATATCATCGACCCCGTCATGGGTATGTACCGTTTTTTGGCGACATTTTTAGTTGACATTTACACGCTGAACGGAACTGACAATAAACCTACCTGAAGAGCAAGCTGTTGAAACAGTAATTCATACACAAGTCTCAGCTGACATCCTTTCTCACCCGATATGCATGTTCAGGTCAGAATATATGAACTGCAGATTTAAAACAGTCCGAGAAAATTACACCTCCGGGTTGTTTACTTCAAGTAAACATACCGAGACAAGTCCCAGTGAGCGTCTTGATCGTGTAGCACAGACACGATATATAAACAGTGGTTGTGTGCATGGTGTACTCTTGTCATTGTAAGTCACACTCGCAGTCAGTCCTCTTGTGAATGGTTGACTCACACATGTATTGAGGTTAAATAAAAATAACTCCATAAAGGAAACCGTGAGCATTAAGTAATATTCGTGTCTCTTGATTTGAATGGGGATGGATACAGGTTCAAGTAGCTTAAGCTAAGAAAGGAGTGAGTGTGGTTTTACGCCGCTTTTAGCAATATTCCAGGAATATCACCGCGGGGGACACCAGAAAATGGGCTTCACACATTGGGCAATCGAATCCGGGTCTTCGGCGTCACGAGTGAACGCTTTAACCACTAAGCTATCCCACCGCCCAGAAGTCAGAAGGAGTTGGGGGTGGGGGTGGGGAGGAGACACTTTTTTGGCCGATCTTTTAACCAGTAATGGTTGCCCTAGCCCGGAAGTACGACGGGGTCCAGGACTTCCGCCGGAAGACAGACAGGTGAGTGAGTGAGTTTAGTTTTACGCCCCACTATGGCAGCTGTCCTTGCCACTATATTCCACCTATATGGCGGCGGTCTATAAATAATTAGGTCTGAACCAGACAATCCAGTGATCAACAGCATGAGCATCAATCTACGCAATTGGGTTAGAGACAGGTGAACGACGGCTTACGCTGTTTGATACGATCCAGCTGTATAGTAGCTAGTGAGTATAATTTTATTCTGCCTTTAACTAGTTCAAGTGATATCACATGCAGGGAATCGAAGCGGGGTATTTAGTGTGGTGAGTGAATTTATTAACCACATAGTTTTTGGTTGTAATAGTTCATTATCTGGATTCAAATTGACAGCTTGACACGTACAGTGGAAAAGATGTGAATGGACATGAGAATACTACTCCATCAACATCCCAGTATAACGTTCTACAACACCTGGCTACTGCTAAACGTCAGCTGGAGGGATTCGCTGTACTGCCAAGGGCAAGGTCAACAGTTATCTTTTCGCGGACGATTAGTTTACCTTCTGAACAGGTTTCTGTGTGCGAAGAAAATTAGGTATTTTGTGAAATGGGTACCGTCCACAGACCAGTCAAAGCAATCCAGTCACCGACCAATGTATAATCCTAACTGAAACACAAATCCCGTGCATCACAGACGTTCAAGACACACGTTTTTCACGTGCATCGTCTTACCCTTGCTAGCTGAATTGGCAAATAGCGGTCACCCCATCCCATTTGTAGCAGTCAGTGAGGGTCGCCGCCCCTGTGGTCTAGTGGAGAGCGAGTGAGTTTAGTTTTACTCCGCTTTTAGCAATAGTCCAGCAATATCACGGCGGAGGACACCAGAAATGGGCTTCAAACATTATACCAATGTGGGGCATCGAACCCGGGCTTTCGGCGTGACGAGCGAACGCTTCATCCACTAGGCTACCCCACCGCAGGTCTAGTGGAGAGAGCGTCTATGCGGAGAGAGGAAGAGTCGACGGTTCGATCCCCTGCCGTGGCATACCTAATGATCATACTTGTTGTTACTCTGCCTGGCGCCCGGCTTTTAAGGTGATGGAACCACGACTGGCAGGCTCGGAGTCTGTATGATGTGTCCGAGTGGGGCACCCATGTAAACCTGCGGCAGGGTATCTCAGTGGGCTGACAGTACCACCCGGCATTAGTACAACCACAGCTAGCTATAGTCTGTACTAATACAACCGCACATGTGTTTGCACGTCGCGATATTATACAATTATAGACTCTTGTAGAGGTCGATATCGGTTTTTATTGACCTGACAAGAGTCTATAATTGTTTTATTATATAATGAAAGAGAAACGGGTTTTAACATAAACTTTTAATGCACATACTGTGCCATCTATCCGAGTGATCTGATTGGCTGAAAAGGGGGTAAGCCCCTTCGTACGGGATTCCTTGTCTATTTTTAGTAACCCAAGTCAATATCGTAATTTATCAGAAAACTCAAGTCAATATCGTGTTTTGTAGTCAATCATGTGACGGTATTTTGACCAATCGTGGTACAGGAAAAATACTACCTCTATAATAAAAGTAAATCTAAACCTGAACGCGACATTAATCCCCACTGTCCTCAACCCCACCTTTCATTCGCCTTGGTTGCTAATCATAGGTGCACAGTTAGATTTAAAGTCATCTTTCGGGACATCGCCACAGCGGTATGCACGTGCACATTTGTCACCTACTATTACGTCACACACAATCCTGTATGTCAGGGTGTGACGTTGCTTTGATGTTTACCGACACCCCCTACAACATGCCTCAGTAGGAGTCTGCCTTCATGGCGGTGTACCTATCCAGGGTGAAAAGCATGACAAATGGCTTGATAAGCACTGTTTTTCCAAGGAATATTGCGTGTTGACTTGGTTCCAAATATCCCATCCTTGTTATCACATTCGTCTTTGATGTTGTTTACGACGTAAGGGTGAGGTGAGGTGAAATTGGGTTTAACGTCGTGCTTGAGAATATTTCGTTCATATGACGACGTGCATGCGTGTGCATCTGTATGTGCGGCTGCTTATACTAGCCCAGATTTAAGCTGGTTTTATAGTGCTAGCCCACTGAGATACCATGCCGCAGTGAAGCATGAATACCCCACTCAGACACATTATACTGACTCCGAGCCGACCAGTCCTTGTTGTACCCATTAATGCCGAGCGCCAGGCAGGAGACCAACAAGTACCATATTTTAACGTCTTTTGGTATGACGCGGTCGGGGGTCGAACCCACGACCTTCTGCTCTCCGGGCGGACGCTCTAACCACTACACCAACAAGGGGTACAACAAGGACTGGTAGGCTCGGAGTCAGTATAATGTGTCTGAGTGGGGGTATTCATGCTTCACTGCGGCATGGTATCTCAGTGGGCTAGCACTATAACACCAGCTTCAGTCTGGGCTAGTACAAGCAGCCGCACATACGGTGACAGGCCGGGAAAGCCACATTTCAAAAAAGATTATTGCCGGGAAGGCCACATTTCAATTACATGGCTGTAGCCGGTAAAGCCACATTTCCAATAGATTAAATTAATTAATGGATTACCGTAACCGATAAAAGAATGTCCCCATGTATAATATTGTTTTCACAAGAAACGAATAATCTTCCTTACTCACAAGCGTGGTGTTTAGCAATACCGGCAAAGACTATCCCTATTTATGATTCTAAATCACATTGTATAATATTGTTTTCACAAGAAACTAATAATCTTTCCTACTCATAAGCGCGGTGTTTGGCTTCTTCACCCAGAGTTTATTACTCAAAATGGAACCACCTCCGGTGGTACATGAGTACATAAAATGGAATACAGAATATACAAAGTATGCAAGAAGGTGACAGGGAATATACGCAATGATTACTGAAAAGTAGAACAAATACATTTGATAAATTTAGATAGGTGTTAGTTGAAATTTTAGTACTTGACATCAATTGTTTTATATGTAGAGAGATTAGGGAAGGAACAAGAGCTATCTTCTAGGTCAGAGATGCGTTGTTGGCTAAAATATAAACATCTAATGATAATAAAAAAAAGAGATAATGGAATTCATCCCCAGTTAACTGCGAGTTACAAAGGTCACATACTCTTTCTTTTCATGCGAGATTCGTCCATCTCCCACTTTCTATTGGCAATTTATGGTTAGATATTTTAAAATATAGAATAGGTTTCCAAATATTTTTCAGCAGTAGGTATTTGTCGAGTGAAGGTGAGATTTTTAAAATCTTATTTTGTGATATTATTTAGAAATATGTGATATACCTATTAGTATATTATATTGTGCTAATTATAGAAACAAAACGTGTTATGATCTGCATATAAGTATGAGGAAACATGTCTTGTTTTGTTAAATACGGTAACCTGTTTGAATCACTAAGCATGTTTTGACAGCATAGCCGGGAGAGCCACATTCCATGTTCACGCAACCATAACTATTGTCGGGAGAGCCACATCAATTTAGGCTATATGTTTCGGAAATATGGCTCTCCCGGCCTGTAACCGCACATACACATACACACGCATGCACGTCGTCATGTGAGCGTGATATTCTCAAGCACGACGTTAAACCCAATTTCACCTCACCTATATAATAGCGCTTTGTGAAAGGAGGCCTATGCAGAGAAAAGCAATGTTTGGCCAAACTTTCATCCTCTTTATGGAGATTTGGTTGTTAGGGTGTGCTGAAAATCTTAATCCCGATCTTGCTATCAACCACCGGTTTTTTCTTGTCCAGACGCTAGAAATGACAGGTATCTGTGATGCCACGTGCACCTTTACATAGAGAAAGCCATCAAGCCACATCTATAGACTGGAAGACACGAAGTTTGTTTGTTTGCTTGTTTTACGCCGCACTCAGCAATCTTCCCGCTATATGATGGCGGTCTGTAAATAATCATGTCTGGACCAGGCAATCAAGTGATCAACATCATGAGTGTCAATCTACGCAACTAGGGTACGAATACATATGCTAACCAAGTCAGCGAGCCTGACCACCCGATCCCGTTAGACGCCTCTTACGACAAGCATGGGTTACTGAAGACCAATTCTCACCCGGATCTTCAAGACACGAAGTAGCATGTGACTTAATTTAGTTCAAATTCACTTTTTGGCACCTGTTTTATAACAACCATGGACATACATGATGCTATATAACCATAGTACCTTAATGTCAGCCTCATTTTAGGATTCAGCAGATATTATAATGAGTGCTAGACGATCACCTCAAAGACGCTTGTATCGTTTTGCAAAATACTAGTACAGTAATATATACCGTACTTGCTCTAATAAGCGTCGGCCTCTTATAAGCGCCGGGTCTCTAATAAGCGCCGAGTACATTTTTTTACAAATGAATTCACCCTTGATCAAAAAAAGATTTATTAAGGAATGGTCTCTTTAATCATAACTTCCTGTCCTCCACATGGCACGGGTTGATGGATATTGTGTAATAATCGCCGGGTCTCCAATAAGCGCCGGGCCTCTAATAAGCGCCGCGTCTGAAAGTCCGTTG